CATGCGCATTCCAGTCCACTCTCCTTGGCTGCCAGGTTACATCGATTTCCCGAAAACCATTCTCATTGTATCAACAACGGTTGGACTTTTTTCCAGACAGACCTTGTATATCTTACAGAGTCATATCTTGGGGTGACTCATTCTGAACCCCCACAAGCTATAAGAAAAAAACTGTTCCCTCTACCTTCTTAAATTCGATGTCAGGGCTCTGCAGATTAAACTGAGGAAAGACAGATTTGCTAAAGAAAAAGGTTTATTTCATATGCAAATAGAGAGAATCACAGAAGTGAAAACTTTTAAGCAGTTAGACCAGAGACCTTATATACCGTTTAAACAAAGAATTGTGGAGATGTGACAAGACAAAGGAAAAGGAGTTTGAGTTCCTTGTGGCACTAAATTATGGGGAGGTAAATGTCAGAGGGAAACCAATGGAAAATAAAGGTTGTTTTAGTAAGGTGTGTTGCTATACATTCCTCCTTGTCTCCTGTGATAAGAATGTTCTCACCTTTCTCACAGGAAATTCAGGTCTTACTTTTAGGTAAAAAGCGGGAGGGCAGGGAGCCCTTCCTGCATCTGCTGTTTATTACTATCCTCAGCTCAAAATAATCTTTATACCAAAATGGCATATTTTGGGGGTGGCATACTGTATGCCCTTCATAGTCATCCCTAATGGATGGTTTTAATTTGTATTTCCCTAATGGTTAGTGATTTGAGCATCTTTTCACGTGTTTACTGATCATTTTCATATCTCCTTTGAGAAATGTTCAAATTGTTACTCTTCACACCATGACTTCTGTTTTTGGAAGAACATTTTATCTGTAGTGAGGACAGTGGCTTATAGTGGGATTAGAGAGAAATTTGGGAAACTACTTACAAAGCAGCTGCAGGAATCCTTGTGGAGATGATGGTACTTGGACCACACACTGTTACTCTTCTTCAGCTCTAGTACTCTCCAAGATACTTTAAGTGTGTCTTCTCTGTAATTCTTCTACCTTTGGGCCACACGGGCTGTAATTTCTTTTGTAAATTGTGCAGTCGGGTGAGAACTTTCCCCTGGGAATCCTAAAAATACTCAGGAATCTATTTGGGTCAACATTAATAATAATGATAATGGTTTAGTAATAAAAATGATGATTTTACTTTTTGCCTTTAAAAACTCTTCAGTTGTTAGTTATGACAGATTGGAAGTTATATTTTTTTAAGTGAGCAGTAGACAATATAGTGGCCTAGAAGTTAGGATTAAAAAATGTTGAGATTGTAGACTATTTGGTGGAGGAAGGACTCTAATAAGTTCTATGCTAGATGGTAGCCGTAAGTCTTCAGCTACATTATAGGCCTTTTACTAAACATTTCTGATTATTGTTTCCATCCTGATCTAGGTGGCCTCCTGGGAGCTGGACCAGTACTTGAAACATAAAGAAAAATTGGGGAGCTTCAAAGTATTAGTTCCTCTGTCATTCGAAACTTTGAATATTGTATGAACATTGAACCCTTTCTTTTCTAAAGGTTGAGTCTTAGAATTATTTATCTTTAAATATACCAGTGTAAATCATCTTAAGTTGCTGAAGAATGTATAATTTCTTGTCTTCTTTTTTTCCTGTATGAAATCACAGAAATTCTTCTCCGAGAACAGGACAGTGTATTCCTGTCGATCCCAGGGACTAAAGTGGTACCAGTGGATGGTGCTTTCTCTTTGTTCCACCTCCACCCCTGCCATCCACCTGGGCAGGAGTGACTTGGGTTCCAGCATAGGTCACCTGTTTTCTCTTCCCCTTACCCCTCCCCCTTCAAGGTCATTGTAGGTAGGTCCAAGTAGGAATCTTATGGCATACCTGATGAACAGACGTGTAATTTTGACTTTAATGGCCCTACCTGTAGCTGTCATTGCTGCTTCATGAAGAAATTTGAGATTTAAACAGTGGTTCCCAAACTTTGCTGCACATTGGGTTAATGTAGGGCTCTTTAAAAAGTACTGATGCTTGGCTCCCACCTCCAGACATTCTAACTTAATTGATATGGTGTGTGACCCGGCATTGGGATTTTTCAAAAAACTTTTCTAGGTGATTTTAAAGTGAAACATTTGCTCAGATGAGACCAAAGGCTGAATGGTATCTTTGCAGGAATCTTGGTCGTCTCTGCTGAGCTTGCTTGGAATTGCTCGTTTAAATGAACCCTTGGTTGTAATCCTCACGGGCCTTAGTCCTACTCCGACATTTGTGAGGTGTCAGCTGGCTCCTCGCAATCTTTTTAATTTGGAGAAGGCTCCAGGGTATGCTTTCTTCTTGGTAGCGCCCTGCCCTCTTTATTCTTTGGTGTCCTTTTGTAGTTTCCTAGTGTGGAGTGGGATTAACTACTCCCAGTTTCTCACCTCTTTGCTGTTCCTTAGGACAGACCCTTTCCACACTAAACGTTTTACTCCTTCCCTGGCTGGTATGGCTCACTGGATTGAGCCCTGGTCTATCAACTGAAAGGTCACCAGTTTGGTTAATGCCTGGGTTGGGGGCCAGGTCCTCAGTGGGGGACGTGCAGGATGCAGGAGGCAGCAGATCAGTGTTTCTCTCATTGAGCAACAACCTTTGTGCCCAAATGTCGTCTTGAAAGAAAGGGTTTATTGGGACATAGGCTAGCCAGAAAAAGGACGGGGTCCTGGGACGTGCAATCTAAACCACCAGAGGCAGGGCTAGATGGAGAAGACAGGTATGTCCAGTGTCCCCACATTGATGGGGCTGTTTTATACAATGGGCTTGGAGAAAAAAGATGTAAGTTATTTTGGAAGAGTATACATTGGCCATAGATTTGGGGAGGGGGAAGTGAACCAGAGAAAGTTCAGGGATGGTCTTCAAGGATGCAGTATTTGATGCTTCTGGATTGGCTGTGGGCAAAGTCTGAGTCAGGGAATGTTCATGAGGAAGCAGGATGTGGTAGCAGCTCGTGGTCCTGTATTCCTTTGAGATGGGAACTGAAATAGCCTGGAAGTTGATTCAGAGTTTCCATGTAGATCCAGGAATGTGAGCACTCTTTTGTTGTTTTGTAGCATCCACCCCCGCCCCCCCCCCCCACTGTTGACTGATTAACCTCCCTTCTCACTTCCTCCCCTTGGCCTACTGTAATTTAATTTAGGACATTAGGACATCTCAGAAATTTTCTCTTGTCTTTTTATTGCTGTAAAAGAGGCGTGGTGGCCTTTTCCTTCCCTTAGGTAGAGCTGCTTTGACTTTCTGTCCTAATAATAGTATGGCCTGTTGTAGAAAAGTGCACTTGAAGTTGGATGGGGTGGGGCGGAGCCTTAGGTAATCATCTTGAGGGGCATAACCTGTGTGAACCAGGTTGACATGTGAACCAGGTTGATGAGTCTTGGATATGGTATCACTGCTCTGTGGCTCTGTGTGGAGGGCTCAGCAAGGGGACAGTGCCACTGCCTGTCCTCTGTAGTTTTGTCTGGGAGGAAGCTGTTCCCCAGCTTTCACCCCGAGGCCAGACACTTCAGTTTCTCCCCATATGCCACTGGTGCCCTTCCAGCTGCTGTCCTGGTGCTGGAGTCCAGAGAGAGTGAGTCTGCATAAGTCCTAAGTCCATTGCAGGCCCTTGAAGAGGAGACTGGGAATCCTGCAGTTTCTTCTGCCCCCCACCTCCCCACCAGTTTTTACAGAGAGAAGGTATGGGGACTTATTTTCTTGACACTGGAACCCTGGGTTCTGGGGTCTGGTATGGGGCTGGGATCCCTAGCTCCCGAGGTATTCCTCCTGATTTTTACCTACCGTGTGTAGGTGCGGGACTGTTTGTTCCCTGTCTCTGCCCCTCCTACCTGTCAGGATGAATGTGACTTCCTTAATTTCTTCGTTGTCAGACTTCCATACAGCTTGGTTTTCTGACGATTCTGGGTGATAGTTGTTTTGTAGTTTAGTTGTAATTTTTGCTGTGGCTGTGAGAGGAGGTGAGCCATATTTACCTATGCCTCTGTCTTGACTAGAAGTCTTGTTTTTTAAAATTAAGTTATTGGGATAACATTGGTTAATAACTTATGTAAGTTGGAAGTGTACAACTCTGTAATACATCATCTGTATATTGCATTACATACTTACCACCCAAAGTCTGGTTTCCTTCTTTCACCATATATTTGAACGCCTTTACCCTCTTCATTCTTTCCCCACCCCTTGAATAGTTTTCCTCACTGGATACTCTGGTGATTCATACATGTTATTATTCTCCATGTCTTTCTCCATGTCATGTTTGTCTTCACCTTTCTCTTTGAAAAATTGAAGTGTAACCTTTTCATTGTTTACTTAAATCATAAAAATACATACTTGCATTATTTAAAATTTAGAATTGTAAATTTGAAAACATAAAACAATTTTGTTACCTGTTTTAACACAAATCTATTTGAATACTCTTCATTATGTCTGGCATAAACTTAGATGTGTAAACTTAGAAATTATAATGTATTTCAAAATAGTTCGGATGCTTATCTCATTGCCACTAGTAATATTTTCTAGTGACATTTTCAATGATTGGCACACTTATCTTATTTACATGTATTATTTTTTTAGTTAGGCATTTTGATTTTTCAGTTGCTTTTACTTTTCCTCATTTCTAACTTTCATTTTGACATCTACTTTTTTTTTAAAGGAGGTAGAGGAGGGGGAATAGCTTTTAGACATTTAGATTGGTGACTGAATAGACTGAGATCTTCTATAAATCTTATATTCATAATTTTAGTTACAAATGGCAAGAAGTCATTCAAAGAATTTTGTGAATGTGGTGGCATTTGTTAAATGTATTTTCCAAAAATTAACATTTATTTCTATTTAAAAACTTGAAGAGCTGTGTAAATGAAACTGATAAAATATGTGCAAGTTTGCCAAGTGGTGGAGAACATTGGCAAAAAAGTTGATATAGTTTCAAATCAAAACCATCTACAGAATCTCTTCTTAAATCTAACATTGTCTGTTCTGTTACTGAGATAGGTTTTGACTAATGGCCTTTTTTGTTTTCTATTTTAGAGTTAATTGAGAGTTGGAGGCCGCCTTGCTGAAGATGAAGAGTATGCCATATTAGTGGAGGAGGAATTTTTTTTTTTTTTTTTTTTTGCTTCAGAAGTCTTGGCTGACTGGTGGCTTGTCTCTGGTGGTTACCACTTTCTAGCTGAGTCTGCTTGCTTCATGAGACATGATTTTTACAATCTCAAGAAAAAATATGTCCCAGAAGTTGAGTTTACTGTTGCTTATATTTGGACTTATTTGGGGACTGATGTTACTCCACTATACTTTTCAACAACCAAGACATCAAAGCAGTGTCAAGTTACGTGAACAAATACTAGATTTAAGCAAAAGGTATGTTAAAGCTCTAGCAGAGGAAAATAAGAACACAATGGATGTCGAGAATGGAGCTTCGATGGCAGGATATGGTAAGATAACTGTAGAATATTTCCAGTTTTCCCCTCTTTAACCTGTCCCCCTTTAAAGATGGCCATGGGAAAAGAAAAAAAGGTAGTCATGGAAATCTAACTCTTTACTTCATGCTGAGGTCTTTGCAAAGTCATTTTTTCTTGACTTTTTATCATGAAAAGTTCAAGTGTACTGAAAAATAGAAATAATATAATAAACATCCATACATCTATCACTTTGATTTAACAGTTATTAACATTTTACAATATTTGTTTTATCTAATTTTTGAATAATATTTAAATTATAGAAATAGTGATGACTTTTCATTGCTAGATATTTCCATATGTATCTTTTTTATTTTAATTTTAATTTTTATTTTAAAGAGAGGGGAAGTGGGGGGAGAAAGAGAGGGAAACATTGCTTGCCTACCTTCTGTACATACCCCAATCAAAGACCAAACCTGCAACCCAGGCATGTGCCCTGACTGAGAATCGAACCAGAGACCTTTTGGTTTGCGGGATGGTGCCCAACCAAGCCACACTAGCTGGGGCTCCATACTTATATCTTAAAAATTATCTTTTTCTACCTAATTACAATATAATCATCATACTTAATTCATATTTACATTTTCCCAATTATCCTAATACAGACCATTAGTTGTATAACATCTGTTGATTCCTTCAAGACAGCATTTGCCTACAACTCCAGTGTTGCTTATTACCATTCTCCCTTTCACATCCCAGTTTCCATCTGTGTTGTACATCCTTTGTGCATGCCAGTTGTCTCTTGCTTTTAAGACTTAAAAAAAGAAAGAGAGGAGTTTGAACACTTTGTGTTCTCTATGTTTTTTAATTTTTATTTATTTTTAAAAGATTTCATTTATTTATTTTTAGAATGGGGGAAAAGAGGGAGAGAAACATCATTGTGCTAGAAACATCGATTGGTTTCCTCCCTCATGCCCCCAACTGGGGACCTGGCCAGTAACCCTGTAATGTGCCCCCACCAGGAATCAACCAGTGACCTTTCAGTTTGAGAGACGACGCCCACCCACTGATCTGTGCCAATCAGGACTCAGTGTTTTTTTAAAGTTATATGTGTATGTATTTAAAGAATCAAAATGTGTTATGATTCTTATACTAAAAAGTTCTTCCAGCCCCTAGTGCTTCTAAAATTTCCCATTTTTCAGACCTGCCATTTTAAATTATTTAATATGATTTTTTTGGTGATTACCTCTAACCTCTAAATAACGTGCTCTTTGAGCTCCTTTTTGATTTTTCAATTACAGGTGTTACTTGTTAACTTCCCACCATGCAAGATAAGGTTCAGCTTTCTTTCTTACCCAGAATTGCATCCTACCTACGCTAGGCAGCTTTCATACGCACATGTCCTCCTTGTTCTGTTATTTTCACATCAAAATTTTGGTTAGAAAAGTGTTCAGTGTTTGCATTAATATGGCTGTGTAACTGGTATGCATTACTGAGCCATGTAGTACATTATATCACTTTTCCTTTCCTCTGCTACCTCATTTATTTTCCCTTCTAGAATTAATAAGCATTGATTTTTGTTTCTTTATCTAGTTTTCTACTCCAACACCCCCACAATTATTTCAGTTTCCTGCAGTATATTCAGACACATTAGGCATTTTATCCCTTTCTCATTTTGAAGAAGACTTTCTTAAGTCTTTTGATCTGCTCTGATCTGGACTGTTTCCTCTTTGGGTTTGTAGTTATGAATTGTTCTAGGATCTCATTCCACCATCATCCCTCCCATTCCCTTTTCCTCTCTGGTGTTAGATGGCGTCTTTCCTAGAATCCTGTGGGTTTTTCTTTATTGCTATGCCCTGTTTTCACTCTTGGTTACCAGATTCTCTGGTAGGTTTCTCAGAAAGGTGCAATGGCAGTCAAAGTATTGAGCCCTTGCGTATCTGAAAAGTGTCCCTTCCCCCATACTCTCGTGCTTAATTGGAAGTTTGAGTATAGAATCCTGGTCTGGAAATAGTTTTCCTTTGGATTTTAAAAGCTTTGTTCTCTCCCGCCCCCACACCCCTTTTTAGCTTCCTGTGTTCTTTTTGAGAATCTAATGGTATTGTGATTCTTTACCCTTTACATATGACGTATTTTTTGGAAGCTTGTGAGGTCTTTGTCCCACACTGTTCTGAAATTTCTCCATGCTGTGCCCAGCTGTGGATTACTTTCATACATGTGCTGGGATCTCAGTGGGTACTTTAAATCTTGAAAGTTATGTCCTTCAGTTCTGGGTTATTTTTTCTAAATCATTTATTTGATTTCTTCCTTCCCATTGTGTTCATTCTTTTTGGAATTCTATTACTCAGCATTTGGGCCTTCTAAACTGGTCCTGTAGTTATTCTTTATGTACTCTCCCAGCTTCCAGTGTCTTTGTCTTTTTGCCTTAATTTTGAGGTATTTCTTCAGCTCTATTTTAACTCTCTATGGAGTTTTTTATTTGTCTCTCATATTTTTAATTTCTAAGAGCTATTTTTTTGTTATTTCTTTAAGGTTATCAATGATAACTTTTCTCACATTCTTGTGTTTCTTCCAAATATGTCTGGTGAACCCTAGCTTCTCGAGGCTTTTTTTAAAGATTGAGACACTGAAAGCTTAGGAGGAAATGCTGAGTTGTTGGGTGGCGTGCACTACAGGGTGACCTGGCTGGGACATTTTCTTGGGAGTATTCTTAACATTTGCAGTGACTTCTGATACCAGCCACCGGGAGTAAGGCCACATTTCACAGGTTAAGGGCATAATCCCTCACAATATACTGCCTTCACTTGAGACACCAGTCACAAGGTTGGGTGTCCTCAGGTCATCCTCACTTTTGACCAGCTGGCTAAAAGTTGGAGGGATCCCACCACCCTTTCACATTTGATAATTCTCTAGATCGGCTCCCAGAACTCACTGGAAGCACTGTACATGCAGTTTTATCATAGCAAAGAGAAAACCAGAACCAGCGAAAGGGAAGGATGCATAGGGTGAGGTCTGAGAATGTTCCACATGTAAAATCCCTGCTCTCTCCTCCCCGTAGAATCAGGACATATTAGCCTTCTAACAATATTAAGAATATTGGAAACCAGCGAAGCTCATGTGAACTTTCATGCCCAGAGTTTTTATTATGTTTCTTTTATGGTTGATTGAATTATTAGACATGTAGTTGAACTCAATTTCCAGCCCTTCTCCCCAACACCAAAAAGCCGTAACCCTCTAATCATATGGTTGGTCTTTCTGGCATCGATAGTCCTCATCTTGCACCATCTCATTAGGGCAAACTATCTAGGGGCCCACTCTGAGCCATCTTATTAATATAAACTATCAGGTGTGTGTAGCCAAGGGGATGTAGAGTACAGTATAGGAAATGGAGTAGCCAGAGAACTTACACGCACAACCCGTGGGCATGAACAATGATGGGGGGATTGCTTGAGGAGATAAGGGGGGCTGGCTGGAGGGGACCGAAGGGGGAAAATCAGGACAATGATAATAGCATAATCAGTAGAATATAATTAAAAAAAAATGAACTATGAGGTGTGGTCCCAGGGGCCCACCATAAATAACAAAGACACTCTTATCACTCAGGAAATTCCAAGTACCTTGAGGCTACCTCCCAGGAATCCATGATAAAGGCCAGTTCTTTATATTACCACATCAGCGTCTCTCTTTGTGGGATCTCAAACCTCATTGCGTTCAGGTTTTTCCTCCTGAGCTGGTCAGATTCCCTAGAGGATGCGGGTTGCTCTCCCTCCCACGTGTTCTGGGATCCGAGTGAGAGGAAGAGGCTGGGGGAGGAGGGTAGCCTCAGTACTTACCCTGCAGACTTGCATTACTCCCTCAGTTTGCTGCTGTACTAGCTTCAGGAAGTACATCTGCTCCTAGGCATTTAATTTGTATTTAAAGTTTGATGGGAACATATATAGATCCACTTATGAGATCTAAACAGTGTACTTTGCAGTCTTAAGTAGGGAGGTAATAAAATATTTGTTGAATAACATAATTTATTCAGCACTCAATGGGAGAAGGTAGCCCTATTAAAAAGTACATTTAATTATAAAGTTTATGAGGTTTTTGAAGCCACTCTTAACTAACGGTGCTATTAAAAATGAGAGATAAACTCATTTTTAAGGAAGCATAAAGCTTTACAGTGGAAATTCACTTTGATAATCAGAAGGTGACTTTCAAGTTTTCTTTCTTGTACCGTTAAGCAGAGGTTAGTGGTGGTAAAATATCAGTTTTAATTTGAAAAATAATAAGGAAAAGTTTTTGACTCACAGTATATTAAACATTTGTGTTTTCTTTTTACTAGTTGTTTTGCATTTCACTAGAATTTTGTTCCCTTTTTGTGTATACACATGGTTGTCCTTAGAGTATCTGCTTCTCCACAACAGATTTGAGACCGCTCACATTAAGAATACAAACAACAGTACCTAATGAGGTGTAAGTAAGAGATAAATCAAGATAGAAATACGTGAGTATTGCTGTTTGTGCTGGTCCTGTGCCTGGTTGCCCTCACTTTATTCCTCACCCTTTCTCTGTTCTGTTTTGTATCTCAAGGGAAAGTGATACCAGTAGGAGAGTGTGTATAGTAGATGGCGTTTTGCAGGTTGTCACAACATCTATCTTCTGCCTGGGTTCAGCCAGTTGGAGGCCTTGGCCCAGGTTTGGAAAGTAGGAGGAAGGAAAAGGCTAGGGGTGTTTTCCTCTCTCTCTGCCTCGGGCGATATCTCCTTTGCAGTGCTAGCTTCTGCCAAACCATGTTTCCCACCAGGTATCCTTGGACTTGGGCTCTGGTAATGACATCACTGCTTTCGTCCTCTGTTCCGTAGGCTATCTTTAGTGTACTTAACAGCATTATATCCTCCTTTTGGTTTTTGTGTTCCGTGAAACAATTGTGTACTGTAAAATAGGATAGGTACTATTTTGCTGGTATCTGTGTTCTTACATGCCTTGCTACTTTCTGTCATTCCTTTTCCCGTTCTTTTTTAAACACTTTGATTTCTTCTCTCAGAATAGGAAGCTTAAAACAGAAACAGAGCAACCTTAAAGGGTTTTATCTTCTAAATCTGATCCTCACGTCAATCTCAACCTACGAAGCAAGTGAATCAGACGTTCAGCAGGTGTTCTTTTCAAACATTTGCTGCGTGCCTACTGTGTGATGGAGCAGGATGGATGAGATGTGGTCTCCATCCACTTCCCAGTTGTTCTGGGCGTGGTAGGGAAAGACTTCTTATTGCTAGCACCCTCGGCGATAGGACTTTATGGGGAAGTACTGTGGATATAAACATATAACTTTCATGAAAATACAGTCTCATGGAATGTAAACATAAAATTGTATTGCGAATCTAGAGAGAAGGGGAGGTTTGGGGTATTTAAAAGAATCCCAAGTTCAGGAAACATTACTATGTTCAGGTTTTTCAGTTAACTGATGTTACAGCATGAAGCAAGGTGGTTCAAAATTTCATGGTATTTCGTAATACATATTTTTCTTCAGTGTTATTACTGACACTGTTGCAGCTGTCCCTGTTTTGCCCTCTTTGCCCCCCTCCTCCCAGCCGCCGCTCCCCCTTGTCTCTGACCATCACCACACTGTCCTCTGTGTCCCCAGGTGTGTGTCCACAGGTGATAATACCTTTTCTTTGGCTAATCCCTGCACGTATTTTGTAATGTTTTATGCAAAGAATTGATTTTAGAAAATGTGAAAGGGGATATTTAATGATCATTTAGAATATTGTTAAAGTAAAATTATCATATAGTTGTTTCTCATTAATCCCAAATTTTCCTTTAATTGCTATTCCTAACCTTAACTCTAATCAGTGATGATACTGTGCCTTTATGATTCATGCCACACATCAGCTTGGTGTCAAACTTCCCAGGGCCTTAGCCTCCTTCTATTTTAAAAAGCCGCCCACCCCTGGTCTTTTCTAGGTAGCCTTCTCTGGCCTAGATTACTGCCTCTTCAGATATGCTGCCGGAGGTGACTGGGGAAAAACAGATCTAGTAGTTAGTTCTCTTTCAGTTTTGTTGAAGGGTTTAAAAAATATTTAATTCTCCCCTATTTAGCAGATACTGTTGCAACTCTTGATTGGAAGGTCTTAATAAACTGACCTTTCCCAGGCTTTTATTTTGAAACTTTTGCGTCCACAGAAAATTAGGGATAATTGTATGGTAAACATTATATGTCTTTCTTGTAGACTCACCATTTGCTAAAAAGTTTTCTACATTTTTTTAAATCTTTCCTTCTCTGTGCGAATATATGTGTTTTGGGGGGATAGCATTTGAAAGAAGTTGTATATATCAAGACATTTGATTTCCAAATACTTTTTGTCAAAGGATTTTTCTTGTACTTTTTTTTTTCTTTTACATTCCTTCTAAACTGGAATATGTAATTGCTCATGACAGTTGATGCCAGAAGACAGGCAGACTGCTTGGAAAGTCTCCTTCTTCCGTGGCTGGACTTTCTCCAAATGAAGTTTCCCCCTCAGTTTATATTATATTTTTTGTTTTATTTTATATTTTATTTTTGTTTTAAAAGAGATTTTATTTATTCTTAGAGAGAGGGGAAGGGAGGGAAAAAGAGAAGGAGAGAAACATCAGTGTGTGAGAGCAACATTGATTGGTTGCCCCTCTCACGCATGCCCTGACGGGGATGGGGCTTGCCATCCAGGCATGTGCCCCGACCAGGACTCGAACCAGCAACTTTTTGCTTTGTGGGGCAGTGAGTAACCAGCTGATCTACACCAGTTAGGGATTTTTGTTTTATTTTTTAATAAGTACTTTCTAATCACTTTTTACTCCCACCCACCACTACAACTGTCTCTACCCCTTTCTCTGGCTTTTTTTTAAACCTTTTGATAGGACATATATAACATATATTCACATTTTGGTAAAAGTATATATAACATAAAATTTGCTGTTTTAGCCATTTTTAAGTGTACAGTTTAGTGTCATTAATCACATTCACACTACAGCCATCACTACTGTTTCGAAAACGTGCATCATTTCAAACAGGAAACTATGACCTTTAAGCAATAACTCGCCATTTCCCTTCCCCTGGTCCTTGGTAACCTCTACTCTACTTTCTCTCTGCGCCCTATTTTGCTGTGTATAATGCACACTTTTTTGCCCATTAGGGAAAATTAGGATGCACGTTATACATGCGTCGTACTAATTCTGTATCTATAAAAATGTTAAAAGTGTAACTCTAGCCCTGGCTGGTGTGGCTCAGTGGATTGAGTGCCAGACTGTGAACCAAAGGGCCGCTGGTTCGATTCCCAGTCAGGCCACATGCCTGGGTTGCAGGCCAGGTCCCCAGCTGGGGGCATGCGAGAGGCCACACACTGATGTTTCTTTCCCTCTCTTTCTCCCTCCTTTCCCCTTTCTTTAAAACTAAAGAAATAAAATCTTTAAAAAAAAGTGTAGCTCTAAAAAGCAATAAAGATATCCATATGCAGAATAAATACCCTGGAATAGGACAATTGGTTTTGTTTCTAAATATAAAAAAATAAATAATTGGATTAAAAAATTAAAATGTAGGATTTTTCCCTGAAAGTTTCGGCCAAAAACATGGGTGTGTGTTATGCATGGGAGCGCATTATACATGACAAAGTACAGTATTTGTCTAGATAGTCCATATAAGTGGAATCATACAATATTTGTCCTTTGTCTGGCTTATTCCACTTGGCATAATGTCTTTGAGGTTCATCCATGTTGTAGTATGTATCAGAACACGATTTTTTTATGGCTAAATAATATTCTATATACCACATTTTGTCGATCTCTTCATCTGTTGATGAGCACTCGGGTTGTTTCCACCTTTTGGCTATTGTGAATAATTCTGAAATGAACACTGTTATACAACTATCTATTTAAATTTCTTCCTTCAGTTTTTTTGGGTCGATACCTAGGATTGGAATTGCTGTGTCATGTGGTAATTTTATGTTTAGCTTTTTTGAGGAACGGCCTGACTTTTCCGCAGTGGCTGAACCATTTTATATTCCCACTAATGATGAATGTGTTCCAGTGCTGCTTATTTTCCCTTTCTTTGATTACAGCTGTCTGAAACGGTATCTCAGTGTTGGGCATCTTTTCTTGTGCTTATTGTTCATTTGCATATCTTCTTAGGAGAGGTGTCTATTCCAGTCTTTTTCTCATTTAAAATATTGGGTAGTTTATCTTTTTGTTGTTGAGTTTGGGAGTCCTTTATATGTTGTTGGTAATAAGCCATTGCCAGATATGTAATTTGCAAGTATATGATTTTTGTCACATTATGTAGGTTGTCTTTTTAGTTGCTGCGTAGTCTGTTGAGGTCCCAAAGTTTTAAATTTGGATGAAGCCCAGTTTATTTTTTCTTTCACTAGTGCTTTTTCTAATATCTTAGTAAGAGTACCATCAGTAAATTTATCAGTTGTTGCTAGATAGTTTTTCCCCTGATCACACATTAGGGCTTAGCTGCTTTTTTTTGGTCCAGGATCAACAAAAAAATAACAATACTAGTTGCAACCGATCAAGTACATAATGTGTGCTAGCTGCTTTTGGGAAACCTGAGAAAAGAAGGAAAGGATCATAATTAAGGACCCTAAAGCAAGAAAAGGGTCATAATTTTATTCTTGCTGGTTAGTTCTTATCAAAACCTCTTGACCTCCCAAAGAGATTGGAAGACCTAGCCTTCCCCATCATTTCTGGAAGAAATCTAAGTTAGAACTACTGCTGGTATCTCTGCTGTGTTAATCAGGTTCCTGGCATCTGCCCTGTATCCTAGGCTTCCCCTCGTTTCAGACTGTGGAGGTTCCAGGTTTCTTGTTTCTGTGTTTCATTGAATTTTTTACTTAGCTAACTTTTCACCTTACCTGCTTAGTCCGCAGTCATCTCTACAAATTGCTTAAGAAATTCAAGGTAAATGGATTCCTTACAAGGTACTAACGCTGAGAGTTTTTATATTTTATAACTCTGAAATTTCTTTAAGAAGCTCTATATGTGATGCTGTTTAATTAAAACAATTAGGCATTTTTTGTATTTGTTGTATGAGTGCTTTCTCTAGTTTATTTTCTTTCAGAATACTCATTGTTCACTTTTCCCCTCAAACTTTGAGAACACAAATAAATATTAAGTGCTGTGTCAACATTTAATATGGTTTCTTTTGATTTTCTTCTCCCCTAGCGGATCTAAAAAGAACAATTGCTGTCCTTTTGGATGATATTTTACAACGGTTGGTGAAACTAGAGAACAAAGTCGACTATATTGTTGTGAACGCTTCAGCAGCCAACACTACTAACGGCACTAGTGGGAATCTGGTGCCAGTGACCACAAACAAAAGGATTAACGCTTCAGGCAGCATTAGATAGCAGTTGAAGATCACCTGTGCTGCTACATCCACCGTGGACCATATCCTAGGGCAGAGAAGCTTTTACAACAAAACGCTGGCTAGGATTGCGTTATGCTTTACAATCAGAGCTCTCCACACTTCAAGGAATATGCTGGATTCATGGAACTCAATTCTGTACATAAGTTTTAAAAGTTATTAATAGTTTGCTTTCAGACAAGTCTCTTCCATGCTGTACTATATCCTTAAAGGGAATTTGGAAAAACGTTTGATGTGGTATGCAGGTAGGTGATCTTTGTATAAACCTTTTGTGTTTGAGATTCAAGATGAAATAAAAACATCGAAAGACATGGGTTCATTCTATAAAATATTTATTTAAATATATAACATGTTTTTCAGACGAGTGAAGAATATTGTTATTAAATCATTATTTGTTCTTAATGTATATAACCATTAGACTAATACTGTTAGAAAGTGTGCTGACTTCCAGTACTATATTTTGTTACCCAGATTATGAGCAGAGAAAGGAAGTATCATGTTGAAAATGATGTTTTGAAATCTTGACCCAAAGAATGTCTTCATTTGCACTATCCTTCAGAGTAACTGGAGGTTAATTATTGTATATTTTTAAAAATTACATTTATATGAGTATAATCTTGAAATGGGTAGTAGCCACTGTCTGTAACCTATTCTAAACATTGGGACAATTAAATAACATTTAAATAGTAATCTCTAATCTCATATGTAAGACTTTCTTACATGTATTCTGAAGAATACAAGATATTTTTATGATGAAATTAAAAATAAATATTCATGATTTTTTTCACAGATGTGAATGTTAATTTAAAAGTTTAACCCTTTCAATGTCAGGAAAGCACATTATTTCCATATGTGGATAATTTTGTCTTTATGTTGGTAGGGGAAGGGGGACAGAGATATTTGTGAAATGGGCTCCTAATTCAGCCAGATGTATAGGTGCATAAAGGTGTTTGTACTGCATTAAACTGCTTGGAAAATGTTAACATTGTATTATATAAGCATATCCTGCTTTATGAAATTTTAGATTTGTGTAACAGATACATTAGATGTTTGTTTTATGTAATGGCTACTTAAAAATAAGAACATTTAAGATATAATTTAAATTATAAGATTGACTATCTTTTTAGGAAAACAGTTGATGTATATAGCACAAGAGATCCTAATCTTAATTCTAATATAGAGTGAAGGACACCTTTATTTAAATTTCCCATGTAGCAGATTTAATTGCCATATGGTGCCCTATATTTCATAGTATTTATTCTCTATAATAAATACTTAAGTGCAGCTAGCTTCTAGATTTAGACTATATTGAATTTAGTTTTGGATATTGTTCATTATTATAATATGCTACCACACATAGTAGCAATAATTATAATGTTTTATTAAAATAAGTATGAGAAAATATTATATCATAAAAGGTAGCTTTCCAAACTTTTTCTGTACTCTACCTTTATGTGAAGAAATTAATTACATACCATTGCCAGGTAAGGTTTGGAATAATTGTTGGGTCTTATTAGATGTGGACATTTTTGTTTTTTGTTGTTCTTTTCAGGGATGAAATAAAATATATTATTTGTACTTACAAAGTGTTACAAGTTTTTTCTCTTTATAGTGGTTGTGCATTTAATAAACAGCTAATGATCAAAAAGAATCTTTGAAAATTTTGGGTTTTGTTCCATCAACTCCAGATAACTTTTTCAAACGAGAAAAATGGAGGGTTGTCTTCTTCAGCAGAGGAGAGACCAAGGCCAGAGATTGATGGGATCAAGCCTGAGGATTGTAATTAAAGGTGGTTTCCTAGGTTTTGTATCCTCAAGTTGAAATTTACTGTTGAGGTTTTGTAAGTCATGCCTTAGTATTTATATCTCAGTTCATCTTAATCAGGATATTCATTTTTTGAGAGAGCTAGAGAAAGAGAGGAGAGAAAGAAATGAATATGAAAGTAAGAATAAATACAGAAAAGCAAAATGCAGGGGGAAAAATCCAAAATTTTTCTGCCCAGAGATAACTGCTGTTGACATTTTAGTATGTAAATGTGAATCTCATTTCCCTTGCTGACCCTGTCCATTATTTTCTCATTTCCAGTGAACATACAGCATTCTCCCTGTGGCCACAAAGCCCTAATTTGCTCCTGTGGCCTTGTACCCTCATACCAACTTCATCCTTCCTACTTCTCTTCAGCCATGTTGACCTTCTCTTCCTAGGGCACACCAAACATGTATTTGCATCAGCAGCTTCCAACTTGGTATTTCTCCATTTGTAGTTCTCATTCCCAGATGTCTTCACGGTTCCCACCCTCACATTCAGGACAGATGAAGAACGAAACAGGTGATCATCCCTAGACTTTGTTTTCTGTCACAAGCAGCAGGCCAGAAGCAGTTTGCAGGGCAGTGAAAAGAGAGGGTAAAATGTGCAGTGGGTAATCCGGAACTGCGTGAGAGCTGGGCGGGGAATGGTTGGTGGTCAGACGCGTGCTTAATCAGATCCAGGTTGTCAATTTAGAGCTTTGGCTTAAAATGAATCAGTAATATTAGTGTGTATTTAAGCAAGGAAGTTAAATCAAAGATTTTTTTTAAATTAGTGTTTTTTAGAATTTTCCAATGCCAGCATTTTTCAAACAAGTTTTTCAGAATGAGTTTCAGTCCTCCAGTGAGGCTAGTGGTTCAAGTACAACTTCACGTTGCTTTTATTTATTTTTATTTTTTTGTCAGTCACGTATCCATGCCTCTGGTTCTATTTTGTTCATTAGTCCACATTAAGTGAGATAGTATGGTATTTGTCTTTCTCTTTGCATTGCTTTTAAGTGTTGATTAGCAGCAGCATCATTCGTTTGAATAAAACCATTGTTTTTCATTGAACTTTCTCAGGGGCTTGATTCATCCACATACTCACACTTTAAAAAAGTACCAATTTTTCAGGCAAAGAAATACATCATGGTTCTGAGGAGTCTTTTTAGGTGGGCGGGAGGTGATATGGTAGATATAAGATCACGAAAAGAAGCATTTGGAACCACCAGTGTTTGGGAATTTACACCTAACAGGTTATGTTTAATTTTGATGTAAATGTGTTTTTTTTATTGTTTGCTTGCTTTTCATTTTCATTAGTTTGAAATAGAAAAAATCCCCTTTACTCTTTTCTTCAAATTTGGATTGGGAAGTCTGAAAGCCTTGAGTAATGGCTGAAGCAGGAGGGCACAGAAAGGAGACCTCTGCCAGGTAAGAAAGGGTGTTTCCAGAGTCTGTGCTCTTGGCCACCATGTCTTAACAGCTGTTCTGCTGATCTTGGCTTTAGTAAATTCAAGCACTCCCTTTTCCTCCCATCCTCTTGTCCCTGGGACGCAGCAACTCCTTTGATCCAAGAGAGATGCTTCTCTGTCCACTCCTCACTCTTTGCTCAAAGGCCTGGGTCAGCAGTGTGTGTAGATTCAGCAGAGACATCACACGGTGTGCATTTGGCTCCCTGGTGTGGGTGGTAGCCCACTCACCCCTGCTGAAGGCCCAGGAAGGCTGAGGTTGGGGCGATGGGAGATGAACCAGTTCCTGGGGAGTTTGAAGCACCAGGCCGTGGTATTTGGGAGCTTATGAACCAACCTGCCACAAGTGTCTCACATTCAATCTTGGAAGAAAGGGAAGTTAGGGACCAACTGAGAGTGTATTCTTTAGGGGGAACAGAATCTTTTCAGTCTACCTCAAGGCCATTTTTTGTACTCACTATGGGATTCAGGGCAATATCAACTCATCTATGGCAGTTCTTTGTCACCATAAGATCTAGTACTAAGATTTTATTTGGAAGGTTTAGGTTAGGGACTTTCAGGGACCAAAATATTGCTATCACTGTCCCCTTCCTAGAGGCTAGACAAAATGGGATGCAGGACCACACACACTCTTGGTCTATTTGCTGCTTGTAATCTCTAGGTTTTACAAATGGATCATTTGATGATGTTTTAAAGAAGTCCGAGATTGTCTTAATGGTAACTTATCATGTCTAATTTAAGATGGTTTCTTCGGGTTTTCTAAAATACTAACTGGCAAAGCCTTAAAAACCTCGTCATTTCTCTAAAGCTTGACTGTTGATTCGAGAGCATTTGAAATTGCAGAAGCTCTGGACCCACTTTTCTATTTTGTCTGGGACAGCTTCTGCCCACTGCACATGGCTCGTGCACTGGTCCTCAGACGAATTGACCTCTCCGTGGAGAATCGAGGTGAAAAAATGACATGGAAATCCTTCTTGGTTTGAGCATCGCCCATTCATACTCGCTCATATAATAAAGGGGCAGCTATTTCTTTGGTATGTGCAGGAACCTGATGTATTTAAAATGGTAAAGAATATAAACAGGCTTATTGAGAACTATAAGCACTTTTAGCCACAAATGCCCTTCTCTTAGCTTCCAGGCAAAGACACACTTGGAGGAGAGGACAAAAGCAGGCAGTGGTTGGAGTTGGGGGGTGGGGTATTTGCTACATGAATGCAGTTTGTTCTTTTTTCTTCTCAGACAGGTGTCTGTCTTTTTCTGCCTATGAAAATAAGTGACACTTGGAGCTAACCTCGCCCACAGAAAATGGTACAAATCGTGACACTTCTGAGGAAAATGCACTTTCTGCCTCTGTACATGATTTAATGCTGTTTATCTTCTTTCCAAAATATCATTTGTTAAAAACAATATTGGGTTTGAATACAGTGCTCAATAACCATGGTTACCATCAGAAGGAAGATAGCTCTTTCTCTGATTAGAACAAGTGGCTTTTCTGACCCGCAGCCTCAGCTGAGAGGCTGAGAGGCTGCACAAGTGGCTGCTCTGCCTTCCGTTTCTAGAAAGATTAGGTTTTTCAGGGCTAAAAAGGAAGGCAAGGCCAATTCTAAAGAGGGGGAATTTTTCTTATTGTTGATTAGGATTCGGGTGATTTTACCAGTAAAATAAAAAGCTTTTACTGCAGGAAGAGTTAAGCTAAACCTTCCATTACTTACATCCTCATGGAGTTTACACTCACATATACTGATGCCCGAGTGGGGACAATTGGTTTCTTCACAAAGCAGAAGGCCAGATAGAAAGTATTATCCTTTACCTCGGCAAAACCAAAATAACTAGTGTTTCTTGATGGTGATAAGACGTGAGTGCGCCAGACAGAAAGTGTCATCCACTCACAGCCAGGGTCCTTTGCCATCTTAGAATGAACGTCCTGTTGGAGTTCCAAACAGAGGAAGCCGAGCCCAGGGCTGGTCAAAACTACCAAGCAGTCCTATTATTTTCTATTGTCAGGCTTTGCCTGGCCTATTCATACCATATACGGTAGTACCCCCTAATGATGGTTTCACTTTCCATCGTTTGTTAACCACAGTCCACTTTGGTCCTTAAATATTAAATGGAATATTTCAGAAATAAGCAATTTAATAAATAATTCATGAGTTTGAAGGTGCATGCTGTTCGGAGTGTAATGATATCTCTCATTGTTTCCCCCTATCTCTTTAGGGATGTGAACCATCCGTTTGCCTGGGGTGTCTTTGCTCTATTCCTTCCCCACCCCTTGATCACTTAGTGGTCATCTATGCTATCAGATTGACTGTTGTGGTATCACAGTGCTTGTGTTCAAGTCTTCCTTTACTTGGCAGTGGCCCCAAAGCTTGAGAGTAGTGATGCTGGCAATATGGATATGCCACGGAGAAGCTGGAAAGTACTTTGGTTAAGTGAAAAAGTGAACACAGTTAATAAGCTATTTTAAGAGACAGCACACATTTATGTAATTTTTATTACAGTATATTGTTAATAGTTGTCCTATTTATTATTTATTTATTGTTAATCTCTTTTTTTGAAGGCACTTGCTTTTTTTAAAAAAATTATTTATTTATAGGGAGAGGGGAAGGGAGGGAGAAAAACATCCATCAATAGATCAGTGTGGCCTGACCAGGAAGGGAACCAGAGACCTTTTGCTTTGTGGGACTACACGGAACCCACAGAACTACACTAGTCAAGACCTACTTCGAGCTTTTGACAAGACTCTGCGCTAGGTGATGTTATAGACTTCATATTTCTTCATTACCTAACAGTTACATAGTGTCAGACTGTCTCACTCTTGGTAATGCTTAAATTGTTCAGGCAGAGACTGCCTGATTCCTTCGTTGTATAATAAGCAGTGTTCTGTGCGTCCAATGTACGAAAGGAATCACACTCCCTCGTTGTATGTCACTTCGCAAGGAGACCTGCTAAACCAGGGAGAGAGGTTGGCAAGGCTTGTGGATGGCCGCGAGGAGCATCCCCGTGTGGTGCGTGACTGCGATTGCAGGTCGTGTGCGCCTCGCGCCCGTTTGGGCGGCTGGGTGGTAGGCGCGCGCCCGAGCGGTAGGCGCGTGCCCTGCGCTGTCGCCGCAGTCTTCGGGTGGGCCAATCGGGAGGCCGGAGGGAGGGGGCGCGGCGTGCTGGGGCGGGGCCGGCCGGCTCCTGGAAAGTCCACCCGCGCGCCCTGCGGGCTCAGACCGCGCAGCGCCGGAGCCTTTCGCTTCCTGGCGGGCCATGGAGCGGCTGACGTTGCCTCCCGGCGGCGCGGCGGCCGTGGACGACTACCTGGAGTACCGGAGGTGAGGCGGCAGCTCTGCGGAGCGGGGTCGCCTAGGACAGGCCAGTCCCCGTTACTAGAGGAGCGCCGGCGGCGCGGGCAGGGGCTGCCGGGCGCTTGTCCACTGGGTCCCTGTAATCCGTTCTCGGGCTGTTGGGGGAGGCTTCCATTGATTTCGAGTTTCGTCTTTCTGGAACTAAACATTGTACTGATACGCCATACCGTACTAATAAGTCTCTTCTGAGTCTATTTACGAGGTCTCCTGCTCCTACCCCGTCCGAGAAGATTTAGTAACTAGGTTTATGCAGAGGTTCAGTTGTTTTTCCTAAACGGCCATTAAAGAATTAAACAGGGAATACTCGGGGCCCATAAAAGTGAGCGGACATTCAGTTTGCATGTTAGTGTAGCGGTAGGCTGAGTCGTGACCTTCCAGACGCGATCCCAATCCCAAGGAGCTGTTTTTGGGAGAAAGGCACCGACTGGTGGAGTTTCGGTGATTTTGGAGCTAGTCCTCTCCCGAAAGTAGAAACGCAGCTGCCCCTTTGGCCGCGACCAGATCCGGTGCACCTGCGACGCGTTTTCTTTCTTCGGTCTCCCAAAGGTTTTTGACAGTTGGGAAACAGGGTGAGTGGGAATTACTGGAGAGGAACAGGCCTGAGGATGCATTGTTGGGGGCAAAGTGTGTATAAACGGGAAGCGACGTAATCACTGTTCCCTCTGGGAAATCTGAGCGAGAGGGGTCGTTTGCATAAAAGTGGCAGCAGCAAATCACCTATGGGTGTTCGGGCAAACGTGTTTTCTATCTGCCTGGACTCCCTTTGACTGTTTCTTGGCGTAGGTGGGTGACGCCTAGAAATGCCTGGGAATTCTGAGCCAGAAAAGTGAGGTTGCAGAGCTTGATAGGTCAGGGCTCATCCTGGGTTCAGGTGGGTCCAGGTAACCCAGGAGTCCTGTGCTCAGAACAGCTTCCACTCAGCCCTCATCCAGCGCAGAGCTGGCTCCTTTAGCCTCCAAGCCTCAGAGCTTTCCACTGGGACCATGTTGCTGGGCCCTGGCCTTGACTGATAACTTAGGTATTTAGACGTTTTGATATGTGGATTGTGGTCCTCCAGTTGTAGATTTTTGCCTGGTCAGAAAATGTTAGGGCCTGGTGGAAGATTATTTTTGCAAACATGAAGAACCTGGAACAATTCTGTTTAAAAGTTACAGCCTGCTATTCAAAGTGTAGCAATCATGGACCAGCTGTGCAGCAGCATCTGGGAGCTTGTTAGAAATGCAAACTCTCAGGCCCACTCTAGACCATTAATTTTGAATCTGCATTTGGACTAGATCACTTGAGAACCATGTAAAAACAATACAGATTGAGCTGCACTGGGTTAGAACTTAGGTATAAATGATCTCTTTCTTTGAAGACTTGATTTTAAGATCTTTTCAGTACCTGTCGGTATACTTCTTGGTAGCAAAGTGAAATGGCTCAAAAATTATCTCAGAATAAGATGCCCCCCTTTCGTTTTTACTATTGTGTATCTAAATTATTTAAGGAAGGAGGCTGTGATGGCTTCATAGCTTCTGAATTGGTTTTATTTATCTACCTCAGCTAAAGGCTTGAAAGTATGGGAAAAAGTATGAATTGCACAAAAAATTATGTAGCATTCTGCAAACAACACTTTTCATGCCTTTTAAAAGGGGATATATTCAAGGAGAAATTTCTTCAATTTTGAACAAATACTTTTAATTGTGGTTCCTTTTCCTTCACGGAGGCCAACTCTCAAGTTCCTGAGAAATTAAGAAATATCGGTGGCTTATTTTTTTACTCATAAAATTTGGAGGTCTTACTTCTGGAATTGAACAGTGATGCACGTGATTACTCAGCGCCAGGTGTGTGGGTTTGAGCTAGTCAGGCCCAAGGGTGGTTGTGGGTCCTACCTGAAACTCCTGGCCAGGGTTTAGAGTCAGGTGTGGACATTAGTCATATTGTCTTCTGCACTGATTTTGGGGGAGAATGTTACTATTTTTAGAGGAGGAAAATGTTCGAATTTTTAGCAGTTCAGGTTCCAGCTTTCAGTGAGAAGAATGAGCATGTTTGGTTTAGAATCAAAGGAGAAATCGAGATGAGTATGTGGCAATTCTCCTGTAGCAAACCTTAATCAGTAAAGTCAGATTTTACAACTTCATTGACTTTCTTATTTATAATCCATCATAGCCTTTCCTTTGACTATGTAAGTACAGTTTAATGTTAGAGCACAGTGTTTTTAACCTGGAAAGTAAATGATCAAGGCTTAAGAGAAATATTTCTTCGCTGTAGAATTGTGGGTGAGGACGATGGCGGGAAACTTTTTACTCCTGAAGAATACGAAGAATACAAAAGAAAAGTTTTACCTCTGCGCCTGCAGAACAGATTGTTTGTGAGCTGGCGGTCGCCGACTGGAATAGACTGTAAACTTGTGGGCCCGGAGACGCTGTGTTTTTGTACCCACAGGTAAGATCTAAGTTTTGTGGTGATCAGAGCATGTGAAACTGTAGCAGAGCATATCTTCCTTCTGTAAATAACATTACTCGTGTTGATTGAGAAATATTTAAAATAGGCCTTGATATTTTGCACTAGACATTATCCAAAATGTTTTTTGCTATAGTTAAAACATTCTATTATTTCCTATTAGAATTCGTTACAGTCCGTTACCTTAGGTATCTCCTTATCACATTGGTTAAAAGGATATTGGTGCCCCTGCGGCTTTGCCAGGGTCTCTCTCAGTTGGGCTGGGAACACAGTGTGCCTCTCCCACCCCTGCACAGGGTGGTCAAGGACGGGTTGTCAGGCTGCAGAACTGCTTGAGTCGACCCACACTGACCAGGTTCTCAATCTACAGAAAGAAGCATTTCTCCTCATTTTTTCTAATCTTGCTTTATTCTTCAAGAAATATCTCAATACCTTTCTTCAAACAAACAATACTAAGCACACAGCTTTTTATTACGTGCGACCCATTTCCAAGAAAAACACATGGAGCAAAGGAAATCTATGAGGCCCCAATCCTTGTTTTTCATTCTTTTATTTTTTAAAAAATATTGATTTGAGAGAGAGAAACATCGATTTGTTCTTCCACTTACTTATGCATTCACTGGTTGATTCTTGTATGTGCCCTGACTGAAGATTGAATCTGCAATCTTGGTGTAGTGGGTCGAGGCTCTAACCCAGGGGTCCCCAACCTCTGGGCTGGCAGAGGTCTGGGCTTGTTAGGAACCCTGCTGCACAGCAGGAGGTGAGCTTGAATGTAATCTATTTCAACCATCCGGGAACCATCCCCCACCACTCCTTGTCTTCCACAGAACCAGTCCCAGGTTCTAAAATGGGTGGGGACCACTGCTCTAACCAGAGGAGCTACCGAGCCAGGAGGAGGCCCCAGTCTTTGGTGCCTGTTGCCTATACCTGAGATTTGCATTTGGCAGTGTTGGTTGTTTTCTGCTTTAAATTTTACAACTAGCATAGGTCACAGTTGTAAAGCTCAAAAGGACAAAGCTGTTCATGGAAAAGTCACTGAATCTATTGGTAACAACTTTAACTTGCTGTTCCAAAGCAACTGTGAAGGAGAACCGCCCTGTTGTGATAGTTTTCGGGGCTCTTCCGTGAGACACTCTTTGTATAGTTGCTATTTACAGACTTGCAGTTTGCCAAAGGTTGTTAGGCAGTTGCTAGGATGAGTAATGTTTTATATAGATAGACTTGAAGTTTATTTAGCAACTCCACCTAAAAACAACTGTGGAGGGAAGGAGAAAGAGTTACACTGTATTTTTCAGAATTCATTCACTGTTATCAGTGAATGAAAGATATCAGTGCATCAGTTATACTGGCATCTGTCAGAATAAAGTGTTAGTTTCAATTTTTATTCTTGTACAAATTTAATGCCCATCTCTTATATGTGTATGCTTATATAACATGGAATTAACCTTTAAAAATGGGCCCAACTCAACTATGATGAGAAAATTCTTTAGTACTGGTCAGTCAGTGAACTCTCTGTTTACACAGTTTTTTTCCCCCATGTTATAAAAGCGAAGCATTATAGCCCTGGCTGGCGTAGCTCAGTGGATTGAGTGTGGGCTGTGAACCAAAGTGTAGCAGGTTCGATTCCCAGTTAGGGTACATGCCTGGGTTGCAGGCCATGACCCCCAGCAACCGCACATTGATGTTTCTCGCTCTCTCTTTCTTCCTCCCTTCCCGCTCTAAAAAATAAATAAATAAAATCTTTAAAAAAAAGCCATAAAAAAAGTGAAGCATTATTATCAGGAAAATGAGGATTATATAGAAAAGTAGAAAGAAGATTCACCACCCAAAGCTAGCTGCTGTTAATACATTATACCATATTCCTGTAATTTTTTATTTACAAAATTTGTTTAGTTAATTATGTGTGTATAAATATTGAACCCATTTTTCATGGCAGGATCACAGAAATGTGTTTCCACATATGAGGTAGTAATCACTAGCAAGATCTTTCATACTGCCTGATCCTGAGTCAGTCCCCTGCATGTTCCCAGAGGCGTGAGAGTGTCTCGGGGGTGTCCCAGCTGGAGGGACGAGGGGAGGGAAAGGGCAGACTGCAGTTCTGGCTCTTTCCCTTGCTTCAGCCAGCTCTGTTTTTATCCATTTTATCTTGTTTTTTTTTTAAAGATTTTATTTATTTACTTTTACAGAGAGGGGAAGGAAGGTAGCAGGAGAGGGAGCAAAACATCAGTGTGTGGTTGCCTCTTGCTCGTCCCCCACTGGGGAGCCTGGCCTGCAACCCAGGCATGTGCCCTGACTGGGAATTGAACCAGAGACCCTTTGGTTCTCAGGCCTGCGCTCAATCCACTGAGCTATACCAGCCAGGGCATATCCATTTTATATTGTATATTATGGTTCTGCAAAAGATTTTATTTGAAGAAATAGGTTTCACTGATACAAAGTTTGAAAACCGTTGTCTTGGAATTTACTTAACCATTCCCTTGTTGTTAGTATGGGGTGTGTGTGTGTGTGTATATATATTTTTTGGGGGGGCAATTGTAAGTACTGTTGCTGATACTATCTGTATGCACAAAGCTCTCTGTACATGGAATTATTTTCTTGGGTACATTTTAAAAAGTAAACTGTCTGGGTTAAAGAATGGATGGATTTAAGTTTCCTTAAAACATTAAATGGGATTGGTTCTTTTGTAGCACTCTTGGCTGCATTGTGAATTATGCATAGTTGTGAAAAAGCTTTGGCTCTCTTTGCTAAGTGAAAAATGGTATCTTGTTATTTTAGCTTTTATTTTTCAGATTTAATATTGAGAATAATAAATTTAATAGTATTTTACTGAGTATCACCTTATGAGATGGAAGCGAATAGTCTAAGAAAATTACTTAGTGTTTTAGAAGAGCTTTGGCTTTTAAAAATGTCGATAATTTATTTTGAAGTTAAAAGTTAAAAATTAAATTATATTAAAATAACTTATATTAACATGTTTATTGAACTTATTTCTGTTTTAAATAGCAAACCTGTAGAAATAAATTTAAGGAGTGTACCTTAATAAAAAGATTTTTTAAAAAGATTTTATTTATTTATTTTTAGAGAGGAAAGGGAGGGGGAGGAAGAGACAGAGAGAAACATCAATGTGCAGTCGCTGGGGGCCATGGCCTGCAACCCAGGCATGTGCCCTGGCTGGGAATTGAACCTGCGACACTTTGGCTCGCAGCCCACGCTCAATCCACTGAGCTACGCCAGCCAGGGATAAGAATTTTTATAAAGAGCTTATTTCATACTCTTAGGTTGTGCTTCCATGTTAAAGAATCTGTAGTGGTATGTATTTTAAAAGGATTATATGATATTTCTTTGTATATTGCTGTAATAACTAAAAATAAATGTCTAAGAGTAAAGATTTTCCCTGACCAAAACAATATAACTGCCAGAAATACTGCAGGTAGGGGAGTTTATTTTTACCTAACGAGAACAATGAAACAAAAATAAAACAAAAAAGAACCATTTTGCATTTAACAGAATAGGAATAGTAGTTTTCGGCATTACTTGCATTGTGTTTTTATTTCTCCCCTTCTGTTTATTTTTTCCAGGTATAAACAACATAAAACTGACTTTGACACAATTCCACAGCAGCGCCCCATCAGTCTGCCTTGCCGAGTGGCCGGCTGCCGCTGCAGGGCCTACAGCTACGTGCCGCTGAACGGCGCGCAGCCCATTCGCTGCAGGTGCAAGCACTTTGCGGACCAGCACAGCGCCGCGCCTGGCTTCACCTGCACTGCCTGTGAGCTACTTTATTACAAACAAACCAACAGAATGCTTGTATTTCTTGATTAAATACTTAATGTATCTTTGTGTGAGTTTTATTCAGCTGTAGAGCCCATATAAAACAACTAAGAAGACTTTGGTGGGTAGCTTACTCTAGAATTTTATTTTTGTGGTAAAATTCCAAGTTTTTTGTATGCTTTGCAGTCATAAGTCTCATGTAATTGAAATCAGTCAGGTAGATTTTAGGTAATCACTAGATGTGATTTGATTGAAATTTTTGAATAATGGGAGTTTTATCAACTAAATTCTTTTACAGGGTTTTAAAAAAGAAATTCTCACCTGGGGACATTTTCTCATTGCTTTTGGAGGGAGGAAGGGAGAGAAAGAAACATCGATGCAAGAGAGAGGCATTGATTGGCTGCCTCCTAGTGTGCCTGGACTGGGCCAGGGACAGCCCCCGTAACTGACCCGAAATCGGACCGCAGCCTTTTGGTTATTGGATGGTGCTCCAACCAACTGAACCACACTGGCCAGGGCCTTTTACAGGTGTTTAAAGAGGCTTTTATAAGTAGAAAAAATTTAGGATTTGCTGGTAGGTTATTTGTTACTGCTTAAAACAGTGATTTTCAAACTTTTTCATCTCATGCATGCATTAATTAATTGCTAAACTTCTTTCTGATCAAAACGAATAGGTATACTTTTGCTTCATTCACACTGGTTGGCCATTTTTGTGTTGGCTGCCATCATTTTTTAAATTTGATAATCCAAAGGAAAAAGAGGTCAGTGCCCCTGACTAAATAATTAGGTATTGCATGTTTTAAAAATTCTTGTGGCACACCAATGTACCGACCAGTCATGCTGGTTGAAAATCGCTGGCTTAAACACACTTGCAGTTGATGGGAAAATGTAACATGATAATTTTCACACTTGGTGTGCGACAGCAACCTTGTCTCAATGCCTGTTCCCAAATCCCAGTCCCCATCCCATATGCCTTTTCACTTGGTCATCCTTCTTAAAAACCCTTTGAAAATTTAATTAGAAAAAAAATACTTTTTGAAATAGGCAATTAGTCTAGTATTCATTTTCAGGAGATAGTTATTCCAGCCTTTTTTTATAGTAGCTTGAATTGAAATCTTATGATATTATAAAGCATTTTTAATGAGTGGTAGGAATAAATGTGTTTCATTGGCTAAGTATTGAAGTAGTTGGATAAAACTTATTTTGTGCCTTGGTTCCCATACATATTTGTCAGAAGTATGAGTGTGTGAAGATTTTATTAATGGCGTATTCTGGTCTTCATTTCAATATGGCTTTTTTTTTGGTCTCTAAATAACAATTTTATTAAGATATAGTTCACATACCATACAACTCACAAATTTCTAGGGTACAGTTTAATAATTTTTAATATATTCACAGAGTTGTGCAACCATCACCACAGCACACTGTAGAACGTGTTTTTCACCTCAAAAAGAAACTCCATGTCCCTTAGCAGTCGTTTCTTATTCCTCCTGCCCCCGGCCCCAGCCCTGTGCAACCAATAATCTACTTTCTGTCTCTATGGATTTGCCTGCTCTAGACACTCCATGCAAATGGACTCATAGACTATGTGGTTTGTTGTGACTATCTTTTGTAGCATAATGTTTTTGTGATTCATCCATGCTGTAGCGTATATCAGTACTTCTCTCCTTTTTATTGTTAAACAATACACCATTGCATCCTTTCTTTGTCTACGGGTTGGCCTTCCAATATGGCTTTTATGGAGAATTGATCCATAGGGAGGTTTCCACATTATCTCTTCACCTCGTCCCGGCCACTGGTTGTCCCCACCATGCCTGCTTTTAACTCAGTATTTGAGCAGAGAGCCATTTCCTGGCTCTCCAGTATTCAGCCCACTTTCTTTTAGTCCTCATTGACTTTTTTCAAAAAACTTTTAACTTGACTGATTTTAGAGAGAGGGGAAGGGAGGGGCAGACAGAGGGAGGGAAACATCAGTGTGAGAGAGAAACATCATTTGCTTCTTGCACATTCCCCTATCAAGACCAAACCCACAAACCAGGCATGTGCCCTGAACAGGAATCAAACCTGTGACCTTTTGGTTTATGGGCTAACGCCCAACCAACTGAGCCACATTGGCCAGGGCAGTCCTCATTGGTTTTTCCAATATCTTTTTCCCTGCTACTACTATTCATTACTGCTTTAGAATCTTCTAGAAATAAGAGCGTGGCTGGGAGGGAGTTCAAGGTCTGGAGGTAACAGTCACAGGGGTTAGAGGATAGCACGTGAGGGATCCAGATTCAGGTGATTTTGGCCAAGCTGAGTGCTTTTAGGGAAGGTAGCTTTTAGTATCTATATTTAAAAACATTTAATTGCCTTTACACCTTGACTCAGGTTCAAAGTGTTCGGGATTCCATAGCTGCTTCACTTGTGCTTGTGGTCAGCCTGCATATGCCCATGACACAGTAGTGGAAACTAAGGAAGAAAGACTGGCTCAGGGGAAACCAGTGGGGCAAGATGTTCCTTATGCAGCAATGGGAGGACTGACTGGCTTCAGCTCCCTGGCAGAAGGCTACATGCGGTTGGATGACAGTGGGATCGGTAAGTGGTGACGCGGAAACGTGAGCTCGTTGTAGTGTTTTCATGTGTGCTAACAATCGTGAAGCCTCGTGCTTGTTTCGCACTTTATATTCTTCATTTTTTCCCAGGAAACATTCTCTTATTTGATTTTTATTTTTTTAAAAAGGTTTAACTGCTGCTGTGCTACAGGTGGTCATTACAGAAAATCTAGAAATCACAAGAGATCAGTCCCTTCCCCAATACTTGTACCCAATCCCAGCCCTTAACCACAGTTTGTGATAGCTGAATAATATTTCCTTTATTTGATATCACCCTACTGTATGCAGTTTTTGCCATTATAATGACCTCATTTTGGAAACATAGGCTGTGTCCATGTGTTAATATGTACATGCATGCATATGCATGTAATCACATCTATAATGCATGCTCATGTGCATAGATGTGTGTGTACACGTGTATGTACATGCACATCTGCTTGTGTACATAAGTTTTAAGCAATATAGGGGAAAGTTTAATTGGACATAAATCATTGAACGTAACTGTATTCTGAGTTAAGTGGGATTGGGGAGAAGAATATGGTTTGTATTTAAATACTTTTGTGTGTGGATTTTTTTGCAAGCATGTGTTTAAAAATTTTTTTCATTTCAAAAATTACATAAGTATAAACGAATATTTTCTTATTATAAAAGGTTCAAACCATAGAAATGAAGTACATGGCCCCTTTGAACACTGTCTCTACCCTAGGTTCTTTCTCAGAGGGTAATTTGCTGTCTTCAATTGATAATAAACTCTTCTTGGCATACGCTTTTATATATATTACTTTTATGTAATGATGTACTTTTATGTAATGTATTCTTCTATGTTTATGTATGTACATAAAACATATATGTATATATGCTTACTTTTTTAACTTAGAAAAAATTTAGTGCTTTATTGTTATTCTTTTTTCAAAAAGCCTATTATGTCAGGACACAAGTCTACTCAATCCTTTTATAAAAATTTTTAAAAGAGATTTTATTGATTAATTTTAGAGAGAGGGGAAGGGAGGGAGAAAGGGAAAGAAACATCGAAGTGGGAGAGAAACATTGACAGGTTGCCTTTTGCATGTGCTTCAGCCAGGGATCCTCCCACAGCCCAGGCCTGTGCCCTGACAGGGAATCATACCTATGACCCTTCACTCCGTGGGACGATGCCCAACCGACTGAGCCACCCCGGTCAGGGCTGTGAAATTCTTTTTAACCGCTCGCTGCACAGTGTTCCACACTGTAGATATATCAGTTTATCTAAACCATTTCCTTGTTCCTGGTGTTTAGAGTGCTTTTATTATTGTTATTTTTTGCCTTTATAAACAATCCTCCCCAAAATATCCTTGAACTTGCTTCCTTGTATATCACATGAGTTTGACTCTAAGGTAGATATAGAGAGGTAGAGTTTTGGGGTTGAAGTGTGTGCATGTGTGAAATTTTAATATATTCTGTCAAATTGCATTTTAAAAATGCTTTACTTGTTAACTCTTCCTCTAGTAATGTTTTAGTTTGCCTATTTCCTCACATTTATGCTGATCATTGATATCATTAAACATAATTTTTGCCAGCTTTATATGTGAAAATGTTATTGTTACAGTTTAATTTCCCTGCTTATTAGTGGGATGAGAATCTTCTCATATGTATTGGCCATTTCATTTTCTGTGCATTGTCTGTTCATATAGTGTGTTCATTTTTGTTTTTATCTTTTCTCATTGATTTATAAAAAATCTTACATATTGTTATTTTTTTCCAATCTGTCATTTGTCTTTTACTAATTTCTTTTTTTTGCAGTTTTTAAATTTTGGAGGCAGGACTTCCCTGCTCCAATTTTATAAACATGTTCTTCATTTTACTTTAATATGTAATTATTTTGTGTTTATGGTTAGGTTTTTCAGACATCTGAAATTTATTTTTTGTGTAAGTGTAAGGTGTTGTGTAAGTTCAGTTTTTGTCCAAATTGATGGCCAGTTATCTTTCCCAAACAATTTGAAACTATCGTATTTTATCATACTTTCTATTTTGTTCCATTGGCTGATTTTTCTGCCCTGTGCCAATATGACCTATTTTGTTATTCTTTGTGGTATGTTTTGATATTTGGTATTCCTCCTGTTTGTGTTTTTTTTTCAAGATTGCCTTGATATATTCGTGCTTCTCTTCTAACTAATTTTACAAGTAGCTTGTTAAATTCCATAAGTACATCCTTTTTCAATATTTATGGGTGCATGACTCTATTAAGTACTTGAAAAGGTTACAGAAAACCCAATTACCAATGGCAAAAAATAATGCATGCTAATGATGTCGATGATGCAGGAGTTCCAACCTCTTTACTTCTGTTTCCTTATATAATCCTCACGGCAACTCTAGTGGGTGCTACTATTAATCCTGTTTCACATATGAGGAAACTCAGCAGAGAGGTAAACGTCTTGTTCAGGGTTACTCAGCTTGCAAGTGGTAGGGTTGGATTCAACCCAGGCTGTGCTGAGCGCCTTGCTCTGCCTCTTTGCTGATGATTTCTGTGCAGCTGCCACATTGTTTTCATTACTACAGCTTCGTAACAAATCGATGTTTATGACTTCCTACTAGTATTTTAGAGTTTTCCTGACCTATTCTTACCTTTTCATTCGTTTAGAACTCGAGCATCATTTTTGAAAACATTGTATTATTACAAAAACATTCTTATTTTAGTTGATATCACACTGAATAATGTTGGAAGAACTGATTTTAAAATATCGAGTCTATTCACTTATTTGTCTTCTTCTGTGTAACGAAGTAAAATTCTCAAGTTATCTTCATAAAAGTCCAGCATGGTTTTTCATTCTGTCTATAGGTATTTCATCTTCTTTAAAAAAAAGATTTTATTTATTTTTAGAGAGAGGGGAAGGGAAGGAGAAGGAGAGGGAGAGAAACATCAGTGTTGCCTCTTGCACACCCTCAACCAGGGACCTGGCCTGCAACCCAGACATGTGCCCTGACTGGGAATTGAACTGGTGACCCTTTGGTTCATAAACCTGCGCTCAATCCACTGAGCTACACCAGCCAGGTCATCTTCTTTTTATAGCTGCCGTACATGGACTCTTTTACTTCCTTTATATTCTCTAGCTGATTATTGTTTGTTTATAAAAAAGCAAATGTTTTATGCTGCTTTTTGTTACTAGCAGCATAAAGTGTACTTAATTATTACTGTACTTAATCTTAGAGCTTTAAATAAATGTTTAGTTGATTTTGCAAATAATGATATTTTTGCCTCTTCTTTTCCAAATTTATGACTCTTCTTATTCTTGACTAACCAAAATGGCTGGTATTTTCAGAACAATGCTAAGTAATAGTGGTTGTAGCTGACATTTTTGCCTTTTTTAACTTCCAGTATTTTATCACTTAAGCATCCTTACAAGGAAAGAAAACCTGCCCCTTTTGGCCCTTGGGGAAAGGTGGGGTGAGGAAAGGTGAGAGTGAGGAGAGGAAACCTTACCTTTGTCTTGACTTCAGATGTAGGGGAGCCTGAGGCAGAGGGACATCTGCTCTGTTAGCCAGGCAGTGCCCTGGACAGAGAGGACCCCTTGCTGGAATTTGGTTCCTTTATGTTGCGGAAGGGTCCAGAATTCCCAGCTCTTAACTGAGTTGTGAGGCAGTGGGCTTGCTATGGTGTCTGTCATAGCAAGGGGCAAGGGTGACCCCAGAGCAGAGCTAGAGGGGGGTCCCCTGGGGCCCTGGGGGATTCAGTGGAGGAAGTGGCAGGCATTGAGGCGCCTGTACTCTAGTGAGAGTCAGTGTGAGGCTACTAGGCCCTACGAAGCTGAGAGACTAACTTACCACTTAGGCGAGCTTGAGCATTTGAGACTGTAGTGCACTCAGCAACCAGAGGACAGACAGCACAGGGACCTGGCTGGACTGAGCTCCCCCCTCCTAGGTTCCCACAGCAGCGTGAGAAAGGAGGGGGGAGCAGGGGGAGGGATCTGAAAGAAGGAGCAATTGCCTTACACTGTTTGCATTGTAAGAAAGGATAAACTTTTAAAACCCAGCAGGAGTCAAAGTTTATTTTCTGTCCCTCTTTGTGCAGGATGTGGGGGAGGTGGTGGTTTGTGAAGAAGATAGAACACTTAGAAATACATTTTCTCTGTGCTTCCTTCCTTTTAGTTCGAAAGTCAGTTATTTAGCAGTTGGTCTCTGTAGTTTGTAATTGTGGATGTTTCCTCATTTCAATGAAGAAGGTCTCTTTAGTTTTCATACTTTGTTTTTAGTTGTTTTCCCAGTGAGGAATAGAGTAAATATACACTTATTCTACCCTCTTAAACTAGAGTTTCTTTTATCAGAAATGTCTTGTTTTTGATAGTGTTTTATAACTATGTTAATGTTCTGTACTGTTTGCTGACACATGATTACATTTGTGCATGTATATATTTCTTTTTCTGTGAAAAAGTCTCTGAGAAATACAAAAATACTTTTACCCATTTCCCGTCACTTTATATGACTGGGAAAAATCTAAATAAAACTTTCGTTTTTACTGAAAGGATTTTTCTAATGATTCCGATGAGTTTCTACTTTATTTCACATTTGAAATAACTTCTTTGTATCCTAACAAATAGAGATTTAACTTTCATTCTTCATGTATTTTATTACCAGGTGCACCTTCAGCCGAATTTTTAGACTCTCCAGGTACAGCCTTGGACCACCCTTTTCTCAAAGCATTTCAAGCATTGTCTAGTTCTTCTCCAGAAACACGAACAGATGGTAATGAAATGAGATGGGGAAATATGTTTGGGTGTAGAAAATAAGAATATAGATTGATTCATTGATGGCCCTTGTTTTTCCCAGTATTACCACAATTTGATTACCATCTTGTGAGTATTTTATATTGGCCAGGCAGTGAGAAACAGCAAGAAACCTTATTTTTTATTAGGAAAAATTGCTAAGTCTGAGAATTATGAGGATTCAGATAATACAATAGTATGAAGTTTTAAAACCTTATTTTAGCACATTATTGCTTTGATGTCTGAATGAGAGCCCTTTAGTGGATTGGTTGCCTTGAGAACCTTGAGGTTCTCCCAAAGAGGATGTAATCCATTGATAATTATAGGTTAGCAAGGTTTTGTCATTTACTAATTATATATTTAAAATCAATGGTATTGCATTTCCTTTCTTGAAAGCAAGAATAAAAACATTGAAGAAGGAATTTGTATGGTTTATTAGATATTTAATATATTTTTAATATATTTTATTGATTATGCTATTACAGTTGTCCCATTACCCCCCTTCATTCCCCTCCACTAGGCACACCCTCTCCCACCCACATTCACCCCCTTTAGTTCATGTCTATGTGTCATAAGTTCTTTAGCTTCTACATTTCCCATACTATTCTTGCCCTCCCCCTGTCTATTTTCCACCTACTATCTATGCTACTTATTCTCTGTACCTTTTCCCCCTCTCTCTTCCCCCCCCATTCCCCTGTTGCTAACCCTCCATGTGATCTCCATTTCCGTGGTTCTGTTCCTGTTCTAGTTGTTTGCTTAGTTTGTCTTTGTTTTTGTTCTAGGTGTGGTTGTTAATAATTGTGAGTTTGCTGTCATTTTACTATACATGTTTTTTATCTTCTTTTTCTTAGATAAGTCCCTTTAACATTTCATATAAAAAGGGCTTGATGATGATGAACTCCTTTAACTTGACCTTATCTGAGAAGCACTTTATCTGCCCTTCCATTCTAAATGAAAGCTTTGCTGGATAGAGCAATCTGAGATGTAGGTCCTTGCCTTTCATGACTTGGAATACTTCTTTCCAGCCCCTTCTTGCCTGTAAGGTCTCTTTTGAGAAATCAGCTGACAGTCTGTTGGGAACTCCTTTGTAGGTTACTGTCTCCTTATCTCTTGCTGCTTCTAGGATTCTCTCCTTCATTTTTACCTTGGCTAATGTAATCATGATGTGCTTTGGTGTGTTCCTTCTTGGGTCCAACTTCTTTGGGACTCTCTGAGCTTCCTGGACTTCCGGGATTTCCTGGACTTTCCTTTGCCAGACTGGGGAAGTTCTCCTTTATTATTTGTTCAAATAAGTTTTTCACTTGTTGCTCTTCTTCTTCTCCTTCTGGTACCCCTATAATTTGGATGTTGGTACATTTAAAGATGTCCTGTAGGTTCCTAAGCTTCTCCTCATTTTTTTTGAATTCTTATTTCTTCATTCTTTTCTGGTTGTATGTTTTTTTCTTTCTTCTGGTTCACTCCATTGATGTGAGACCCAGCTTTCATTCCATCACTATTGGTTATGTGTGCATTTTTCTTCATTTCACTTATTGTAGCCTTCATTTTTTCATCTAGTTTGCAACTAAATTCAACCAATTCTGTGAGCATCGTGATCACCAGTGCTTTGAACTGTGCATCTGATAGGTTGACTATCTCTTAGTCACTTAAAAGTACGGATTGTGGGGCTTTCAGTTCTGTTTGGGCCATCTTCCCCCCCCCGTCCCCTTTGGTCTGGTTGTGCCTGTTATGTGTGAGGGGCGGAGCCTTAGGTGTTCACCAAGGTGGGGCACCCCAGCCACTGAGTTGTGCCGCTGTATGTGGGGGTGGGGTCCAAGAGGGAACAATGGCACTTGCTCCACTCTCCGTGGGACCTCAGTCCCTTCTGCTGCTTCCCCCAAGCAAACTGGGCCTCTCTGGTGCTGATTCCCATGCGGGTGGGCTTGTGCACCCCGTGGGACTTTCCAAGGACCTCTCCTGTGAGGCTGGGAGTCTCTCCCTGAGCCTCAACCCCCACAGGTGTTTTCAGTCAGTGCCCCCAGGCTCTATTTCCCAGTGCTGGGATCCTGGGTTGCGCGCAGTGCCTTGCTTCATAGTCGCCACCTCACTGGGTCTGCTGTTTGCCACCCCTTGGCTGGGGTCTGTTAGCTGCTACTTGCATGCTCAAGGTCCACCCGCTGTGGTCTTGTGCACCAGGTCCCAATGCTCTCTGCTCTCTGCGTTGCGACCCGTGCCTGGCTGCCCAACTCCGCCCTTCCTACTGGTCTGGATGAATGTATTATTTTAACTTCTTGGTTGTCCGACTTCCATACAGTTCAATTTTCTGTCAGTTCTGGTTGGTATTCTGTTTCTAAATTATTGTCCCTGTCTTGGTTGTGCGAGGAGGCACAGTGTGTCCACCTATGCCTCCATCTTAGCCAGAAGTCCAGATATTTAATATTTAAAAATATTTTAAAACGAGAATTTCTTTTGATTTATTTGTATTTTCATATGACCTTTTCATGTCCCCTGCTTTCTCCACAAGAGATTTTTAGGGCTGCCACTGACAAAAACAACACTCAGTGAAATGTGATGAAATAGAGAAAGAAGACCAAAACCAAGAAAAGGGATGCAATTCTGTCCACGTTCCAGGTGGTTGTAATTGCGGCATGAGGCTTCAGTTGTGACTGAGTGTAGGGGCAGCCAGGGCACAAAGGAAGATGTGATCAGTTTAATACTGTTCGTTATTAGAGACGAGGAAACATGAATTCCTCCGTGCTAACGAAAGTTACACCAGTGCTGGGTAACAGTTTTAGTTTTTATTTATTTACTTATTAAAAAAATCTTTATTGTATTTTTTTTCCCATTACTATTTAGTCCCCTCATACCCCCGACCCCCATAATCACCACACTGTTGTCCATGAGTCCTTCTTCCATTTTATCTTTCTGCCACACACACAAAGTGCTGGGGTTTTAGAGGCGCCTATACAGTCACCTTCAATGATGCAGCGGTCTGAGGCCCCCAGAAACTGTATTTCAGCAAATGCAGCTCATTTCTAATAGTCACCTTTGATAAAAGTGGTAATATGCCATGTTGCCAGATAAATGAAATTTTTCCATTGAAATGCAACTCAATGAAGGTGATCCTGCAAGAGGTCTTGCCCAGACGGTGGGTGCAACATGATTTAGGGACCAGCCCCCCCGAGTGTTCAGGTGCATGGATAGATAGCACGTGCTCTAAGCAATTTTATTTCCCTCAACAAGGCTTCTGTTAGAGAGTCGACAGAGTTATATGATTTTTGTGTTGCTGGTTGAGGGTAAATTCATGTGTTTAAAAAACAAGAACAGGTGTTCAGGTTGATCCTCTATTTTGGATATGAAGGGACGTAACCAGGACATTTACCTGAAATGAAGGTGAACTTTTCCATGGAACGAGGCTCTTGGTGTACCTGTAACTAAAACCAGATTTTCCTTCTAAGGCAATTTAAAATTTCTTTCAGCATGTGAACTAGTGCTTGATTAGTATTTTTTTAAAAAAGATTTTATTTACTTATTTTTTAGAGAGGGGAAGGGAGAGAGAAAGAGAGGGAGAGAAGCATCAATGTGTGGTTGCCTCTTGCGCGCCCCCTACTGGGGACCTGGCCCACAACCCAGGCAGGTGCCCTTGACAGAGAATCGAACTGGCGGCCCTTTGATTCACAGGCTGGCACTCAATCCACTGAGTCATACCAGCCAGGGCTAGTTTAAAAAAATGAATACCATGGAAAATGGTTAAAATTATTTTAGTTTTGAAAAATTTCAAAGCAGGCAGAATCATCATGGTTGCCTACATAAGCTTGTCTTAGTCTGTTCAGGTGGCTATAACAAAATACCACAGGCTGCGTGGGTTACAATCCACAGAAATTCATTTCACACGCTTCTGGGGGCGGAGAAATCTGAGACCAAGGCACTGGCTGGGCTCTGTTCTAGAGAAGGCAGGCAGCCTTTCTTTCTGACTGCAGCCGAGCCGGCGCATTGTGTCTTCATGTGGTGGGAGGGCTGCGGGGTCTCTGGGGGGTCTCCTCTATGAGAACACTAATTCCGGTCAGGAGGGCTCCCTCCTCATGACCTAAGTATCTCCCAAAGGCCCTACCTCCTAAGACAGTGGGCATTAGGATTTCAACATACGAACTTTTGTTGGGGGGGCATTCAGACCATAGCACCTCTATAACTCCTTCTGTAATTATATTCTGTATTATCTGTTACAGTGGTACATGCATTGCCAGGTTAGCTATGAAGTGTAAGATGTGATTAAACAAAGCTAAGTGTGCTCTTCTATGAAATGGCTATTTTGTGCTATTTAGTATGAACCAGTTGAATATTTGCAGAATTTTTGCCAATGAAAATTACTTTTGTCTTACGTTGCTCAGTTTTCTAAAAAAAGAATTAGGTGGTAGGATCAATTCTCCATTTATACCATTTCAGGTTTGAAAAATAAAAATATTATCACTAGGTAGGAGGAAAGTTTTCTTTCGTTTTTTATTTCAGGGAAATTTATAATTTTAGAAATAAATTACTTAGAATTGTTTTTTCCCCTCTATTAGTAGGTACAAGTAGTCAAGTGTCTTCTTTAAGGCGACCTGAAGAGGACGATATGGCTTTCTTTGAAAGACGATACCAGGAAAGGGTGAGTCTGTGGAGAGCTCTGCTCACATTAGGCATTTACTTGTACCAAAGACATTGTGGGACGATTATATATTGGTTGTGGATCGTCATTAAAAATAATTTGTGAAGTCTTTACTTCCCGCTGGTGTTAGACCTTGGGGCTTATTTGTAATTATTCAGAGAGAAAGAGGACTAACAAATAATATGGTAACACACTGGCTAATTTATGGAGGTCATTAAGATTGATGAAATATACAAATACAATGGTCAGTAATAACCTTCAGCAGATTTGTAAATGATACATATCTTGAATTCATAATACGGAGGGGTTCTTTTTAGAAACTTCTAGATATATTCACACCAAAGTTAAAATTACTCAATAGACTTTAAGGAACAGAACACTAACCATAAATGCATTTTAACATTTTCTAGGGCTCAGCAACTGCAGCACTGAAGTGCCCCCAGATTTCAGTAATGATAACGTTTAGCAGGTCTCCACCACACTGTGTCTCCTTGGGGATATGTCTAGTATTTTATTCTTCTTTGTATTTTTACCAGAACTAAGTGTAGTGCTTTGTATATAGTATGTTCTCAATAAATACTTATGGAAAAAATAAACATATAATTGAGATTGCTGTCATACATGTTATTTCCTCACGTTTGATGTGTTTCATGCAGTGCTCATATTTGAGAGTTTTGTTTTTGTTTATAGTTGATGAAAGGATGTTGGCTTAATAAGGCATGGGGGACGTTATCCAGCACATTCCCCAAAGTGCTTTCTTTGGGATTCTTTTGTAGTTGGTTTGTGGGCATTTGTTATCTTTCCAACTAGGTGATAAGTTCCATGAATGAAAAGATCCTCCTGTCACTTTTTGTCATGTCCTCTACAACTCGTGCACAAGAGCTCGTTGAATCACTGAAGGTTGGAAAAAGGAGACCATTGAATAAATTCACCATCTAAGAGCAGAGGAAGTGAGTCAGGGGCAGAGACTAGCTTGGTTTTTGTGATGAAGAATTTCGAAGTAGAGGGGAGAATCCTCATGGCATTTAAGGTAGAGCTAGAAAATGGAACTTTCTGCAGTGATACATTGTAGCCACGACTCTGTAAGTCTAAATTAAACAAATTAGAATTTATTTCCTCAGTCACACTAGCCACATCCAGGGGCTCAGGAGCCATGTGTGGGTAGTGGTTGCCTTATTGGACAGTGTAGAGTGCTGTTTTGGAAAACCGGTCTAAGGGAAAGGGGTGGTGGTAGGATCTCTGGAAGCTGAGATGGTCAGAGTGAGAACAGAAAAGGCTGTTTTTGCAGCATTGTTAAAGATAAACTTTTAATTAAATCAATCTGTTCTTAGAACACACATGGTCACAGCTGAATTTCAGTTTTTCTTCACAGGCTTACGAGGGACAGGGTTCTAGAACTTCTCCCTCCCCTCCTCTGGAAGCCCAGGTGGTGTTGACTGCCTTGAAAACATGCCAATGGAATTTGCTTGTGGGAAGATAATGGAGGGAGTTCTTATCTGTGGCTGTTTCAGAGGATCCACCTGGCCCACCCAGACTGCTCATTATAACCAGACCTAGAATTTATGGATTTACGAGATGTAGTTTATAATTCTTTGCCGTGTGTGATTTATGGATTTATGAGATACACCTTACAAATTCTCTAGCCGGTGTGATTAACAGAGTATAAAAACTAAGACGCTCAGACCTGAACAACCGAGCTGACATGTACCATATGTGTTGTTAGTCCTCTTCTGTTACCCCCAGGCCAGGACGTGCACCGCTGAGGGAACAGGGGTGATTAGGAAATGGAGTCTGGTGGGCTCCGAGCCTTTACAAAGCAATGTTTCGCTAGTACAGACATACCTGGGAGGGAGATGTTGTGGGTTCGGTTTTCCAGACCACCACGAGAAAGTGAGTATTGCAATAAAGCGAGTAGTAATCTTTTTGCTGCTGGAGGTCTTGCCTTCATTTTGTAAAAAATGCAAGACCTGTGACGTGCAATAAAGCCAGGTGTGCCTGTATTTCAAATGAGCAAACTCTTCCCTGACTTTTGTTTGTTCAGCATCTTTGCCCTTTTTTGATGTTACTGTAAGTTTAACACTTGGTCCTAAATGAGAAGGGAAAGGAGACTAGCATTTGTTTAGTGCTTATTGAGTATGTTAATCTTTATAGACATGATCTTATTTACACCTTTAGAACAACCTTGGGATATACCTATTACTATGACTTTTTTTATACACACGAGAAAATTGTTGGTTAAATAACTTGCCTCAGATAGTTAATAAATGATAGAGGTAGGGTTGAAATACTGTTCTCTCTGACTCCAGTGCCTATAATCTTTGCCTTTGAATAGAGTGTACTTTGGGGGTCCCTCTGCCAACCTGTTGACTGATAAAGTGTGCAAAAGTGATATGAGTGAATGATTTCTTTTTTTTTATTTAAAAAAGATTTTATTTATTTACTTTTAGAGAGAAGGGAGGGGGAGGGAGGGAAAAAGAGAGGGAGAGAAACATCAGTGTGTAGTGACCTCTCATGTGATCCTTACTGGGGACCTGGCCTGCAACCCAGGCATGTGCCTTGACTGGGAATCAAACCAGTGATCCTTTGATCAGGAATTGAACTGGGAACCCTTTGGTTTGCAGGCCAGCACTCAATCCACTGAGCCACACCAGCCAGGGCAAATGTATGATTTCTAAATGAGGTTCTCAATCAACTCAAAGAGGAGAGAGAAGAAAAAAATGGGGATGAGAGAGATGAGACTCATACAATTTTATAATTAGGAAGTTATTCATAATTTGATGGTTTAGTGGGGCTTTACCAGGGCCCTTCTGCTTTCTTGATATTATTCCTGTCCCCTTGGAGGGTAGGAGGCCCTGCCTCCACCTTCCATGCCCCACGTTTTCTGCGCCTTTCTCTTGTGGGATGAGGCAGTAGTGCTGCCTCTGGGAAGTGGTGTGTGCGGGTGTGAGCAGTAATGAGTAAGAGGCAGGTGGGCTTATGTCTTCTGTTTGTATTTCTCTTGCCCCCCAGTCCCCCAGCACCCCCCATGGAAAGGGTTATGTGTTTCTAAAAGATCAGAAGGCTGCTGCTTAGGGTATGCAACTTTCTTTGCTGCAGTTACAGTGGAGGACACACTTCAGGACGGTAACTATGGAAACCAGAATTATAGGAAACTGCCCTTACAGCAGTCACATTCCAGAGATAAACCGGCTGGTTTAGGCGTATTCTGTAGCCCTGTAAGTGAATGTGTTTAGGCTGATGTAAGGTTAGGTATTTCAGCTTAAAAAAAAATTAGTGGCAGTTAAAATTATTTTTATTCACTTTCTCCAAAGATTCATTATATGTTATTTTTATGAAAATGCTTCTGTAAAGTTGAATTTAAACCATGGTATAAGAATGCAATTAGGTTCCTTTAACCCTCAGATTTTGGCTTTAGTATTTAGCAGCTTAACAACTGCTAAGTAACTGTGAAGTGGTATGGTAAATAAAACGTGAATTCAGATGAGGTATGTGCAACCTTTTTTTTCTTTAGACTATTTTACAATCTATTACATCAATATATTTTAAATTTACAGATAAAAATGGAAAAGGCTGCTAAGCATGCAGGAAAAGCACCATTGTCATCAAACACAAAACCTACGTGAAGACTATTGAGGAAATTACAGCCATCATCCAAATATATCTTTCTAGTGTTTCTTTAAACACAATAGTATAGTTTATTTTCTCTCAAATTATTTCCTTCTTTAGTGTACAAAAATGTTTTTTTGGATGTTTCCTTAATTTAAACGGGATATACCTTATATTTTATAAAAATTCATGATTTACTACTTTGTATATATTTTTTTTATCTCTCCTAACAAATGAGGTTATTTCTATATTAGTCAAAAGTATGGTAAATATCTTTGGTCTATCATAATTTAACTTTTCCCAAGCTATTTAAAAAATTTAAAAAAATGTTATTGGTGTTTGTGAATAAATATATAAGGGCTGCCATTTCATTCAAAAAAGTAAGTTAAAATCCTTAATTTTTTATATTTTAAACTTTGTAATGTTGATTTGTTTTTAAATAAAAAACTATTTTAAAATGACATGATTATTTTCTCGTGGTGCCCGCGGGTTTTTAAGGCGTTTTGTTAACTGCCTCGCGTGTAGCTGTGTCGGCACCTCTGGTGTGCCACTGCCGATCCTCCCGGCCCTGCCTCGCCCTCCAGTTCCGCTGTGAGGTACTCCAAGCAGGCGCCTCGCAGCTTCACGTGGAAGCATTCGACGACTCCTCGTATTGGGCCTGTGTCATTAATCTCCAGGGATCCTCTGACATTGTGGCATGGGATGCCCACTGGAACCCCTCCGCATCATACATGAATAAAAGATATGGGGGGCGTTAATGACCTTGGGACCACCCTTGACTAATGGGAGGTGGAAGCCAATATACTCCCTCTTCTCTCTCCTGGGAAGACAATTCTGATATGCCTTTCACAGATTTCCTCAGTCACCCCAAATAGTGGCCAACTTCATCATCTGTCCTTATTGTAGCTTTCTCTTTTTTCTTTTTCCACTCCTCAATTCCCTCCCTTTGGTTCTGTGGAGGGGAGACCGTTCCATGGTGTGACCGCTGCTGGACCCACAAGCTGGACCTGGGCCACAGCAGAGACTGCTTCTCGTAAACCCTCTCAGAGACTGTCTGACTATAATGGAGGCTTTTCTTACCTAAACCAGTACCTCTCTGGTGTGTCATGGTGTGCTGGTTCCTGGGACAGGCCATTGTCCTGACCTGGACATTGTTCTTGTACCCGGGACCAATCACGTACCAGGACCCCCTTCCATTCTGCCCTTTTCTGTGTAACTCTTTGATGCCTGCCAAGCAGCATGGAGGATCTGTACTTCGTTTTGCTCCCCAAGATGCGGTTCGTAGGTAAGTTTCCCTTAATAAACTCTGTTAATTGCCAGACTGGAGTGGCCTGTCTCTTTCTTCGGTCCTTCCCTGCCTGCCATTTATGGAGGTTTTGTAGATTTTCAGGCTTGGGGCTTTTCCTTGGGTCTGTGAGTACAAACAGGTTCTCTAAAATCACTCCCCAAATAAATTACCTGTATGTAAACATTTGTCTTAGGCTTTGCTTTTGGTTGCTGCGGGTGGGGAAAGGGTGGTAAACCCAGCTACGATGGGTACCAGGAACACACTTAGAAAGCAAACTTCAGGATGGGATTCTGTTGATTGGATCATTCACTAGATAGATGACAATATAAGACCCCACGGCTGTTGGTAAGTGGGGTGGTGATTAACTCTTGGCATGTAGCATCACAGTTACTGTAGTGGATTTGGGTGCAGTGCCAGTAGAAGGTGGCTTGTTAGTCTATAGAGTAGCTGTGGCATTATAAATGTGGCATTATAAAGATGGAGGAGTTGCTTAGCTATTGTTAACTGCTTTAGAAATCCCAATCAGAAAATGACATAGGTTCATGTCAACTGCTTAAGTCAAGGCATGCTGTCAATGCCAGAGTGCAGTAACACAGAGGCAGGCCATCTGTGCTGACAATGGGCCCAAATCTAATCATAAAGAGGCAAGGCTGCAATGGAAACTGAATGCAGTCTCCATCATCTCCTCCAGCAAAGTCAGCATGCTGGCAGGATAAGACTGGAACCCTGAATCATGGGATGGGGACATTTGTGTTTGTGAGCCTGATCTTGAGCCCTCAGGTGTTCTTGAACTTTTGAACTGGCAGAAGCAGCCTCCTCCATTTTGCTAGAGGAGAGCAGCCTGTGCTTGCCTAGAGATCCCACAGAGACTCTATCTAAGGCACTTGCATTGTAAGGTGACACTGGTCTTCCTCAATACCCACCTGCCACCTGTCAACCACTTCCAACTGATAACTAGCACTAGGTCTCATCATAACCTAAGTAGGGAAATTCAGTCTTTCCTATAGGAGGACAGGTTACAATCTGAATGAATTGCAGGTTCTGGTTAAAATGTATTGGCAGGAAATAGGTCTGGGGGTAGATTTTGAGGGTGTTGGATTAGAGTGTGGATATAAGGCTTGAGAGAAGAGAGTGACATGAATATTCACATGTGAAAAATGCTTTGCATTGCACCTTATACAAAAGTCAACTCAAAAAGGGTTTTAAAGTCTAAGCATGTGAAACTTCTAGAAGAAAATACAGGAGAAAACTTTTGTATTCTGGGTTAGCCAGAGACTTCTTAGATATGAGACAAAAAGCCTGATCCATAAAAGAAAACACTGATACATTGGACTTCATCAAAATCAAAAAAAGACTCCTTGAAATACCCTTTTTTTAAAAAAATATTTTATTTATTTATTTTTAGGGAGGGAAGGGAGGGAGTGGGAGAGAGAAAGAGAGAGAGAGAGAGAAAGATCAATCAATGTGCCGTTGCTGGGGGTTATGGCCTGCAACCCAGGAATGTACCCTGGCTGGGAATCGAACCTGGGACATTTTGGTTCCCAGCCCGCGCTCAACCCACTGAGCTACGCCAGCCAGGGCTGAAATACCCTTTTTTTAAGAGAAGAAAAAGACAAGTCAGTAACTGGGAGAAAATATTTGCAAATCTGAAGGACTTGTAGTCACAGTACATAAAGAATTGCAAAACTCAGCAAGAAAACAAAAGATGGGCAAAAGTTTGAACAGACACTTCACCTAAGAGGCTATATAGATAGAAACTAAACCAAAAAAGATACTCAATATTTTGAGTCAACAGGGAAATTCAATTAAAACCAAAGAGATACCATTATACAAAAATGTCAAACTTAAAAACACTGACCATATATGTAAAATGATGGTGAGGATATAGAGCAAATAGAACTCTTAAACACTGCTGGTGGGAATATAAAATAGTAAAACTACTTTGTAAAACAGTCTAGTAGTATCTTGGAAAGTTAAGCACACAACTAACTATATGACCCTACCATTCTACTTCCATGTATTTACTCACAGAAATGGAAGCACAGGCCCTTACAAAGGCCTGCATCTGAATGTCCACAGCAGCTTTATTCGAAACAATCCCGAACTGGAAACAATCCAAATGTCTTCGAGAAAGTAGATAAACTGTATTATGATCATGCAATGGAACAGTACTTAGCAACAAATAAGCAATAAACTATTGATACATATAACAAACTAAATGAATCTCAAAATTATGCTGGATGAAAGAAACCAGACACAACGTACATACCATATGGTTTCATTAAATCGATTTTTATAAAACGCAAACTAATGTATGGTGACAGAAAGCAGTATCTGGTACTTGGGGTAGGTGGGAAAGCTGAAAGTGCATGAGGGAACTTTTTGGAGGTAAAGGAAATGATTGTTGTCTTGATTGTGAGGATGATTTCAACAGTGCATACGTTATGTCCGCTCTAATTAAACTGTGCACTTTCAATACCTGCAGTTTATCATATCTCGATCAACGTGTTAAATTAATGGAGACTTTTAACTGTTGTCCAAGGTTTGCCACAAATTGTATTACCTGCATATAACCAGACACCTAAGCTATATTAACCACCATCCCTGTGGTCCCCCTCTCTACCACGGCCCCCGTGGAAAAAAGCTGCAACACAAGAGACAGAGAGAGACTAGGTCACATTTTCATCTACCAACGTCATTTTCTCCTTTCCACCTTGTAAAAATGGATTTAGGGATTCGTCTAATTTTGCTGTTTTAAAATTTGAATCAGCATGAACAAATTAGGAAACAACACGAAATTCACGCCACTACTTTACATCATTCTTTGAAGCCTTGAGAAAGGAACCTGTCTTTATATGTAGGTGGGGGACAACTCCCAACCTTGACCCTCTGGCTCGCACTCAGCGTGCACGCGGCCATCTGCCTGCGTGGCTGTCCGCATGCGTGGCCCCGCCCAGCGTGCGTCGCCGCAGGCCCCGGGGCCTCGGAGGCGGCCACGTGAGCGAAGCCGCGACCCACTAGATGGCGATGATGGCCCCCGGCGGTGTCCGCAAGGGCCGCGTGGAGTCCCAGCGGCCGAGGCTCGCGGGGTAAGTGTCTGCGCTTGCGCGAGGGCTGGCGGACGGTGAGCAGTGGTGGCGGGCAGAGGGCTAAGGGCTCAGCATGTGGGGCTGGGGACACTTTCCTAGGGATTCTGTGGCGGAAAGTGTGAGGTCAGTAGTAGTCCTTCTGGTAGGTGCGATGGTGGTCGCTCCCGGGGCCACAGTTTTACCCTGGTCGCCGGTTAGGTCTCCCAGGATGGCGAGGCCATTTCCTGGCCGGCCTTCGCCGCCGCGCCCCTTTCCGAGGGTGACAGGCCCCGAACTTCGAAGTTCGGGGCCCAGAGGCGAAGCTGGCCTGCAGATAACGCGGGCCTGAGGGTTCTCGGTGTAAATGGGGAGTTCTCTCTTCTGAGCTACTTCGACTTCGAAATCTCTCGAAGTAGTCGTCTAGGAGAGACCTGGACGGACTCACTGCAGTCCTGGCCACGAACTGGAGATTCAGGAGTGCCGTTTGCTGATCCCGGTTTGCAGCAAGTGGGTGCTGCATGAGTTCTTCGTAGTCGCCGCGGGAAAGTCGTTTTGATCCCCTTCAAAACAACGGTTTTAAAGCTTAACTATTCCAGAAATAGCTCGTGTGTGGTGGGATTTCCAAAGTAAACATTTTCTTCTTCTTTTTCCTCTCCTCTCCGTTTTCCTTATCTCTCTCTCTCTTCTTTTTCAACCAAATTTAAGCCAGGGTCTCCTTAAACTGATTCCAACTTGGTTTTACAACATTCTTGATCACTCTAAAAATTACTTTTCGATCAGTATTGGAGGAAGAATCCTTGTTTTGAAGATTTTTTTTTAACTTTTTATTTTTTAAAAAATTTAAAAGATCTTATTTATTTATTTTTTAGAGAGGGAAGGGAGGGAGAAAGAGAGAGAGAAACATTAATGTGCGATTGCTGGGGGCCATGGCCTGCAACCCAGGCATGTGCCCTGACTGGGAATCGAACCTGTGATGCTTTGGTTCGCAGCCCGCGCTCAATCCACTGAGCTACACCAGCCAGGGCTTGAA